CATGAGGTAAACAAGGCCCTAACTCTGTTTCTTCGTCAGGAGTTGTCGCCCAAGGAGTCGCCGCCCGCGCCTGATGCAGAGGCCAGCTCTCTAACAAAACTCGGATTGTACAGTGACCTAGTAATTAACCAACGCTAGCAGCGTAGGTTGAACTTGAACGCTGAAGAGTATGCAATTTGATGTTGATAGCGTCATAGACTTTCAATAGATTTCAATAGCCTTGCTTCCACACCCGCCCGAAAGGCCGCCGCTTTCATCACCTACAAGATTGCAGGCGAGAAGCTCGGGGTTTTGTTTTGTTCGGAAGCCTTGGTGCATGGGGGGCCAAACGAACAAGAAGTGATATAGCCCTTGCAAGAATAAGCGCATCCTCATCGGAGAAGCAAGTTGAAGGATGTTGAATGTGAAGAAAGGCAGCTTCAAGGACATGCAGCCCTCAAATAAGAAAATGGTTGTCTTCCGAGATTTTCCTGGCAGACCATGAGAACTAAATGCTAGAATCGGTTTGCTCACAAGAAGGACAGCCAAAAAACCCTCAGATGGAAAAAACCTGGGGACAAAGCAGCGTCAGTAGCATCGTGGTTTTGTAAAGCAAGTGTCCCCAAGTGCTTGGTTGAAGCTAAGGTAGGGACACTTCAGTGAGACAGGAAAAGGCGGTCTGTTTTGCAACAACCAAAGTTTGCGCAAGTCTGCCGTGGCGCGAGTCTATCCAGAAGGCAAAGAATATTCAGACGATGAACTGTTTGAACCCAACGATTCCAATGAACTTATCACAGCCTTCTCGACGAAAGCATTCGTTGATCAATTCTTGACCGTTGTACCGAACACCAACACCGTGCGACGACTCATGACTGATCGGCGCTCCCAAGACGATGATGGTTTGAGGTTTCAGGTTTCTACCGGAAAGGGGCCTTTGGCATTCATGAGCAAAAAAGGTCTGCGCGCATTAACAGCAAAGCGCAAGCGCTGGACCCTCGCCTTCCAGCACCTTCCGACCATTGTTTGCAAGGTCAAGCGCCGCAACCCTTGGTGAGCCGGCCAACATCTTCGTAGAGGAGAATTGCCTGCTGGTTCGGTCAAGTGGGATTGTTGTTATATTCAAGCTCTCTGGCGAGGACTACTCGTTTGATCGGCAGATTGGAGGGAATATGTATGTATAAATCTATATATATAATGCAACGAACCTTGAGTGCTTAAGGCCCAACATGATTCGCAAAAGGTTAGCCCAAGTAATTGTTGGCTTTTAGCGTGTCAGGGCCAGGTGAGGTTTCCCAGAAAAGTCTGAAATACTGACCATGTCAGGCGTGAATCTCAGAAAGGCCCCGAAGCGGGAAACAGATGCCTTCAAGTTTGACACTGGTGTGGAAGAGCAGTTTTTTGTTGCCTTTGCCCATTTAACAGAGGGTCTTGGCCAACCGCTTGTATTAGATCCTCATTCCAACTCTCTTACATTCAACAACTGCAAAATCACACAGCGCACCACAGTCCGCAAGTCCACCCTCGCAGGGGTGCACAGCCTGGCCACGGCCAGCTGTTCGCGGTCTTCAACTTCAAAACATCGTCGCTCTTTGCACCTATGTTCCTGTTATCTTCGTTTTTCGATCACATGGCCAAGACACGGACATTTTCTTCAACGTCGACGTGTTCTTTCATCGCATGGCCAGGTGGGTTGGGCCTTCTTTTCTCCCTACTGAGGGTTCTGGTAGATTCTGGTAGCAAGGCATCTCTCACAAGATCTCACCACCCTAAAGAAGGAGGCGGTTGCAGACAGATACCTGTGCAGTAGTGTAGCACCTGTGCAGCACTTCCCTGGTTGCATTGAAGAATTGAAACCTGTTTCAAATTCAGGAAACAGTCGTTCTGGGTCAGAAAGGTCAAAGCACTTCTTTCCAAGGCTGTAGAATCTGTAGAATCCCAAGTCCATTCAATACTACCCAAACACTCCATGACTCCATGAATATGCATGACATCTTTACCTGCACTGGGGCGGTTGAAAAGACGCCAAGGTAGGCCTATATTCCAGTTTCGTAGAGAGAGCGTGGCTTTGGGTTGTTGGTGATACCAGGCCAACCCCCACTGCTTGCGGTTGCCTTCCACCTAACCGGAACCAGACGCTAAGTTTTGTAGTGTTCGCAGACCTATGTTTGTTGGACGTTTTCGTGTCTCAAAACCTGATGCTTCAGTCTTTCCGATGAGTGCATCGCTTGGCATGGGTAATTCGTTCTATTTTTTTGAAATTGTTTTAATATTTTGTACCTGTTCCTTAAAAATCCAAGAAAACCACCAATCAACTCGAAGAGCTGGAGCTTCTCCCGGCGCTGCCCAAAGAGGAACCCCAACCTCAGCCTCTGAAAGGCTCATATGGCCCCGTGCTATCTCATTGCTATCGCAGCTCACACCAACCGCAGCTCCGTTTTTTGGTACGCCATGTTCAACCCACGCTCGCGTTCCATCGATGTCGACGACCGAAGGTGTTAACCGCCAGCCTGAGCATCGAAAAGGAAGGTTAACGCCATGCATTGAGGGGAAGGAGGTACTTGGCGTTCCAGCAGTTTCATGGTTACTTGTCGTCTTATAACGTGGAACTCGGCGCCAATATTGCCTCCCAGATAGCCCGTGCTTTTCTCACTGGTTGAGATTAAAGTTGATCATGCCCTTGGACTTGGAAGTGGTTCGCCAGCGCCGGGATGTCGGCAAAGAGAAGAAGAGGGCCTTGGACGCATTGGTCTACGACAGCAGTGCCGCGCTGAAGCGCTTCAAAGGTGAAGGTTGATCCCAGTTCGGATCTTAAAGTCTCGGTGCTTGTGACGAGTTCTAGTTTCAATGGGCTCTTTGAAGTTTGGCGCTGCCAAGACAGTTTCGACTCTCTGCCCAAGATCTGCGCAAGAAAACGTTTTGCCGTTTCCTTTGTGTGTGAAACAAGTTAGTTTTGCACAAGCGCCATTACAAACTCTTATCCATTTTGGTTTGCCTGTCTATTCAGCACAGGAGCCCTTTTCAGGCCAGGCAACAACACCTTGCTATCACATCATTCCATGCAACTGCCAGTGTGAGGTTCGCAACAACGGCTATCTCCAGGCTGGGCGCTTGGTGTCAGACAATGGTGGTTGAAGATATTTCCAAGCAGACGTGAAAGCAAGCATTGTTTGGTAGCTAGCGTCGTTCCCATGGTAGATCACAGAGGTGCCTCTATATATTGTTTATTTTTCATTAGTTTGCAATGAAGAGGGACATAGATAAGTCATAGGGGAGAGCTTGTGAGGTGTTTAGCTTTGGAAGCAAGCGTCTAGAGTAGCTCAGGTAGTCATGTGACCATGTGGGACGGTCGGTGGGTTGGATTTGGTTTGGGTTGAGTTGGGCATTCATTGTTTACCTTTGGAACAGTTGCAAGATGGACAGGAGTGACAGGTTTGTTGGCAACATCGGTGCAGTATGCAGTATGCACGGTGGAATGATACAATTGTTATCAACTCATGAAGTTTCGTTGGGACTAGTTTTTTACAACCTGGAGGGCTGACACCACAAGGAGCGGGGGTGAAGCGGGGAAATCATCCAATGATCACATTCACTGTCCAAACAAGTCCAATGATATCAAGATATCCATATTGATTGATTATCACGGGTAGAGAGTATATTCGTTGATGATCGTTTTCGCTTTTCGTTCATCGTCGGATCTAACGCCGAGTTCCTGGTTCCCCTTTGGCCGAGTTCCATCGAGTGCCGCGTTGGAGCCATACCGATCGCTTTCTAGTGACGCATCCTGCTTTTCACCCAGCAAAAGTCTTTGTTTCAGTCAGGGTTTTGACAGAAGGCAATGACTTTCCTGCGGCAAAAGTCTTGTGTAGTTTCTGAAATTGGTATAGAGATTTCTTAAATGTATAAAAAGGCCATCGAGGCCATCAAGAATCCGGGATCGCATATCGACAAATCTCCAAACCTTCAAGTGTGTTCGAGTCAAGCCATCCAAATGTGCCAAGTACCATAGGTATAACAGGGTGTAACGATACGACAAAACCCCTGAAACGATGGTTTGCCCCTGAAACCGCAAGAAGACTCCGTCAAATTCACCTTCCGGCGCCTCTTCTGGCACCGCGCGGCCTGCACCGCGGCGACCGCCTCGGGTGTGCCGCATGGGTCGGCCGAGGTGATGATGGTGGAGGCCTGGCAAGCGCATGAACTTTCGGTGGAGCAGGTGAAGAGCTTCACCAATGCTGTGGCCCGGTGTGAAAGTTCAAGTGTCGCGGACAGGTATGGGGCGGGCCAAACTCCTATTGGTATGCGAGTACCAAGCGGAGTGTCTCCGGAAAAGTGAAAAAGGTGTGGAAAGGTTGAAGATTGATGAAGATTGATTTCTGCAATAGCACGTGGTTCTGGGTGGATCAAAATTTAATGAACAGTCATGAAGAGGCAAACAAACACACTATTAATATATATATATAGTAATATTTAGTTACATGTATTTATTCCGTGGTATTCTATAGTTGTAGCTACATTGCGTGGTCGTTTGTTGTGGTTTTGTGCAATCCTGATGTGTTTTGTCTAAAAGCAACATACAGTCGTTGAGGGAAATGTTCGTTTTGCGTTGTTTTTAAGAAACCCCGAAACAGATCCAACCCTATACATGATATAACCAACCGATTGAATTAAACAACACACCAGGTTACTGCGTGATGTTTTGTATGGACTTTTCATTACTTTCCTGGATAAATCTCAGCGATTTCCTTGAACCCCCCTAATGGTCTCTATGATGGTCTACTCGAACGCAGCGAACGAGGTGGGCTTCAGCAACTGCCGCCAGAGCTCGCTCTCCATCGGCACCTCTACAGTCCAGGTGTGGGCAGATGGGGAATCAGTCAAGAGAAAAAGATGAAAAGACATGGGCTAAAAGCCAATGACTTGGATATCTGGTTTCTTTGCTACAGACCCAACAGTAAATGAAATGATCGGATGAGCTGCATGATTTCAATGGTCGGCGGATGGGTGCCACTTTGTCGTTGACAAGCCATCTCTTCGAAGAGGACTTCCCCAAATTTGCCATCTCTTCAGTTAGAAGTTGGAAGGTGAACACTCATGAACACCAGGTTTGATGCCTGGAACATGCTGCACAGCGACGCGAACCGTGCAGGTGGTCCTCTCCGAGAGCGCCCCCAACGCGGGGGACGGTTGCGGCTTGGTCTCCGACGGGATGTACGTGGCGGTGGTGCCTCGGCATGGCATGGCGGTAGTCGGATGAGTTGCGGGGTTCACCAGTTGATGAGTTGTCAGACAGCAAAATAGGACTGGAAGATTCACCCTGCCCTTGAAGCATTTTTGACGGATTGACCTTTGAAGCATCTTGAAAACCATTCGAGAAGATTTAGGGAAATATGCCAGTCGCCTGGAGTGTTTGGGAATGTCGATTGAGCGTGACTGCATGAATATGGCGGGCTTGGAGTCCGGTTCTATCAAGGGGACAGCCGGAATTTGTGGGACTGGAGTGGTTGGGGGGTTGGAGGGTCGCAGTCTGGGCTGTCGAGATCTTGAGGCCATAGACTGACTGGATATTCAAAGACAATGAAATCCTCGGAATAGGTGCCGAGAGGCGAAAAAAAACCGAACGTCTTGGAGGTCCAGTCTACTCCATAATCAACAACAAGGATCCAAAAGGCACCTTACCTTTTAAAGGGGGTGCCTTCTGCATGGGGACCTTTGCATCTAGTCAGTCCTTGCTACTAGTAACAAGTGCATCGCTACTAGTAACAAGTGCATTACTACTATATAGTAGCAAATAGCTACTAGTAGCGTCCTTGCTACTAGATCAGGACCTTTGGATCCGTTCTGTTTTCTTGAGGGCTTCCATCGTCCGATCTATTGTGGGAGGGAGATCTCCAGCTGAGCGGGGCTCGTGCAAGCGAGGTCTACGTGGAAGATTTGAACGGCCGCTTTGAGCAGTGGTCCGGGGATGGTTCTTGGGGCCCGTTCTGGATCGGATATTCACATAGTCATAGAACTATATATAGAACGTACAGCTGCAATCAGCTGCATTGGTTCCGGGATGCGGCTTTTGCTAGGTTCTATAATTTAAATAGTCGTTGAGTTTACGAAGGACTCCAAGAGTCAAGCACGGCTGGTTGTGGAGAACTCATGACAATGTTCAGAGTCATGCCATACAACTCCAGTGATATCCAATGATCGATCATGCTTGTGCAAGAGTTAACCAGATTGACCTGTCATGGCCTTCTAGACAAAACAAAACACGGCACCGTTTGTGGGGTAAGGCTATCAGTGGCAAGACTCGGCAAGACTGGTGAGAGAAGACATGTGGCACCACAAACAGATGATAACCCATGATTTTAAAAATATATATATATATGGATATAGTATAATAGGATAGTTAATGATAGTTTTATATTACTGTGTTTTTTTGTGCATCTACATTTCTTGTTTTGAAGGCAGCAAGTCTCCCAGGCATGATGTTAGTTCTTTAGTTCGCGTTCTTCCACGGACACTCCGTGCCGACGACGGCCGGGTTGTGTTGGCTCCGAGGTCTCAACGATGGGACCTTGGCTCAGCTCTTGGTCCATGTGAGCCCTGAGAAGGCTTTGTCAAACATCTTGGGTGCAGGGCCTATGATGGCACAGAACCCTTCAAGCAGCCGCCTGGCGACTTTCTTGTGGTTGTCATTGTTGCTTTGTGTCTAGTTGTTCTACTTTGATCAGGTTTGATCCTGTTTTGTTGTTTTTCATATAATCAGGCTTCCTTGAGTGTACCTCTTCGAGGGATGAGTTTGTCATGACCCACCTTCTAAATCTATATGAAATGACCCGATATGGTGGGTCTTGCAGAAGAGGCAAGCATTCATCATATTGAAGGTGCAAAGGAGCAGCAAGGGCCTAGGGCCTAGGGGTTTGCTGATTGTTTTCGACATATGTCGACAGAACTGACCTCTCCCAGGTGATGTTCGGCTGAAGTTTGTGGCAGTGGTGCCGGGGAGGCCAGAACGGGCCATGGACCGCTGGACCGCAACCGACCGACCGAGCGAGTTTGTATAGAAACGGAGTCTCATGCTTTGCCCTTTCGAGTGCGTTTGTCGCTTCATGTTCGATCCTTTCCGAAACAGTCATGCTGCTGCCAAGAGTTCATGTCTGAAACATTTGGTGCTCCCCTTCTGCCACAGATTGGTCCATCAGGTACTGGGCCTTCATTTTGCCTTCAGACAGGAGAAGGGTTTTCAAACCCATCTTCTGGCAAAAAGAGGAGGTCGTGACCTTCGTGAGGAACAACATTCAGACATTCCAAAGAGATGCTCTAGTACTCACGCTCTTGGAATGGAGAAGTTCTCAATTCACTACGATGGATGCACTGCCACCATGCCATTAATGGCCCAATACGAATTGCGCTGCAAACGTCGTGAGATTTCCAAGCGCCAGGATCAATGTCTTCACCGTGGAGACGGCGAAGTTCATGGACCTGAACCCGGACACCGTGGGGCAAGCGACCTGCCGAAAGAACGAGGCGGGGTTCCGTGAAGGAAGCTGAAGAGAGAAGTGAGAAGCAAAGGAGAGCAGTTGATGGCTGTGTTACTACATGTTACTGCGACTGTTGATGCAAGCAGGGTTTGAATCCTGGCGTAGCTGATAGCTTGGGGCACTGCATATATATATATACAGGTTAGACATGCTAGTAACAGCTGCACATTGAAAGCGCCAACGAAGCACCTCACCGTGTTGGCAGAAACTTGACATGCCATAAGCATTACACCTACGTTTGTGCATGACCCCAGAATTAAGTTTCTATTTCATCTACTTGGCAGCACTCATTCATTGAGGCAAATGTCTTCCAAGTCAAAATCCGTCATTTTTCTTGCTATGCCAGACATTCCAACCCTCAGTATTGGTGGCATGGACTGTTTGCCGCAGGTCGTGATGGGCGTGGGTGAGACCATCGTAGAGCTAACAGGATGCGATTTGGTGCTGAGTGGCGCTGGAATTACCTTTTACTCCGCCTTCGTGTATGTCGCTCGGCCCCATCCGCGGACGATGAGGAGGTCTGACGTTTGCCGACCTTTGCTGCAGCGTTTGGGGCCCGGCCGCGATCAACGCCCGGTGTTGTTCCAAGGTGGAGGACGACACTGGGACCACAGGAGAGCTCTCACCACCGATCAATGCTGCTGAGACAAGAGGAGTTGGAGGGGCTGTTTGGGTGGGGTGCAACTCTCTGGCGCAGGTGGAGGGAGGGTGAGTGGTGTGCGTGGTCTATCTGGTGTGGGTTTACAGCGTAATAATCCGTATAATAAGTAATATGCTACTGTATACAGATCTCAGAACAAAAGTTTCTTACAACCAAGGGGAGGTGGAACACACCCTGAAAGGTGCGCAGGAAAGAGCTGAAAGGAGTTATGCTAGGAGTATCTCAGTCCATCCGATTGCCCAAAGCTTGGCTGTGTTCAGGTGATCGGGGTGGATATCACCCGTCCTGTTGACATCGAATATAGAGAGTACCCAAGACATGCCTTTCAATTTTTGTCAAAGTTCTGCGTTAACTTACATAACTGCCTCTCTTCAATTAATTGTAGGGTTTCAATCAGCCCAGTGCAGCATGTTCCCTGAGCTAGAGGGTCTTCGCAGACCTTTGGTTAGAGGTTAACAGGCAGTCCTGCGGTTGAACGCGGCACGATAGCATTTGTGTGCAATACTTGAATCCCACACTCCGCATTTTGGTGTCTTGCATTGTTGAGCTACTGTAATTTATGCGGATATCTACGGAACGATTTCCAGGATGCTTGTCTTCACCAGTAAAGAGCACCCGGCACATATGTTCATGACTTGTCCAGGAGGTCAGAACATTGTTAGCAAAAAAGGACTATGATCCTTGATCTACGAAGCAGACATTGGAATGGACATACCATAGAATACCCTTCAGACTACTCATGAATGCTGTCCACCAAAGCATACCTAAACAAATAGTAACAGTAATACGTTACTTTGTATATGTTCACCAGGTGGTCCGGCCAGAACCTTCTCTGACCAGAACAGACGTTGGGCACGTTATCATCCCAGACTTGTTCACCCAGTTCCATTCAGTTTCCAGAACACTAGGGCCTTGCCCCTAGGGGTGGTTATGGTATGTTATGGTGATTGTTTGCTTGCACTTCAGGTCTTAAACATCAGCAACAGCTTTCTGTGGCCCTATCCCACCATCGCCGCCTTCGACACCAATGGCTCCCTCTCAGTGGAGCTCTATCCGCGGAACTCGGGCCGCCTGTGGGCGCGGATTGTCACTTGGCGAAAGGATTGGGCGGCACCATCAAACCTGCCACCGGACCTGCCACCGAGCTAACGCATCTACCCCACCTCGATGTCCAAAAGAACACCTTTTTGATCCTGTTCGACTCTCGACCCTAGCTGCTAACTGACGCTTTCTTTCAGTTCCTTGCAACGCTCTACTTGACCGTGGAGCGCTATTCCGGGGAGTTGTCCTTGGACGTCCTGAAGAACTGGCCAGTTGCTGGGCCTGGAGGTGTGAAAGATGGTGTTGAGTCCGTGGTGAAACACACCCGATGGTGTAAAGCAAGAAGAGGGTTGGATGGGGTTGAAGACTTTAGGGCGTCATGACGCGAACCCGAAAGAACGAAGAAAAGAAGAGAACCTGAGTGGTTTTTACAGAATGGTATATGATGGTATATGGATGAACAAGTAGGTGTTTTTTTCCTCCAATCTGTTTGAGGCGTTCCAGTTGTTCATGAAATCATACCATGCACTGGTGAATTGGGTCCAAGTCTCCCCATGTTTTGTTCCTTGGGTCCTCGGTTTCTGTAGGTTTCTGTGTGGTTTTGTTCCATTTCAGTATATTTGGGTAGCGTTGAGCGCAGCCATAGGCTGAGAGCCATGTCGATCTGAGGCTTATCCTAACAATGGGCCGTGCCTTTTCAGCACGGCTCCGGCGATGGGGACGCCAGGATGGGGTTTGAAGATGGAATGCCATCCGCCATCATCTACCCCATGTGTACTATGTATATTTTCGGACAAGTACATACAATGACTTGCCTTGGGTTGGGAGTGTTGGGACATATTGGGACTGGCACATGGGTGATTGACTCTGTGCCGAAATAAAATCGTTTTAGTGCAGTTTGGGTGAATAAGTTTTGCCGAGGATTAAGGCTTGACAAACACGAAATGGAACAAGGCTGCATGGAATTGCCGTGTTGGACTTGCTTGTAAAGCAAGCATGGAGCCTTGGCAAACCCTTTCAGACTATACCTGAGTTTTGGAAAGCGCACCGACATTTTGTGTATATAGCATGAACATCATGACATTGCATCCATTAAACATGTTTGGACTATGTTGAAACTGTATATGACTATAAAAGAATATAACATCTATATAAGATCTACTATATAGTCATCAAGTCTCTAACCCCCAAATGCACCGATCGGACACCCACCGACCGATCAGGTCCTACGAGAACGCCAACTGCAGCTTCGATGCCTTGGACTTCACGGTGGAGCTGAACCCGTTTGGCGGCCAGGCGGACAGCCGCGCGCAACGAGCGGTTCTGGGTCTCGGGGCGGTTTTGCGGTGAAACCGCATGCCGCGAAGGATGATGCGCCGCTGCACCGAAGGACGTGATGTGGGTGGGAACAAGAAGCTACGAACGGGGCTCCTGGCATCGCTACTAGGAGCAAGGACGCTACTAGGGGGGGGACTGAGCTGGTCGTAGTTTCATGATTTAACTATGAAGTGTTTCCAATTACCACCTTAATTGTTACTAGTAGCGATGGCCTCCAACCTACTTGCCATAGCCTCCACATTACTAGTAGCGTCCTAGCTACCAGTACTATGTGAGTGATTGAGATCTGAAGTGAACTAGCACGCATAGTTCTCATGTTATCTCTATATATTATAAATTATAATATATAAACTTGTCCAGTAAACAAGCACTTGGCGACCCCTCTTTTCCTCTTTGTACTTGAAAGGCAAGTTGAGCCGGACCAGAGTGCACCTATATAATCCTGAATTGGCAGCAGCCATCATGGAAGTCTGGGCCCACTAATTCTGAGGAATCAAGCTCCGACACCACTTCCAAGAAATGTGGTAGTACATCTTTGGAATCCTAGTGCCAAGGATCACCTAGCATGTGGCTTTACAGACTTTTCAGGATTTACACAAGTCAGGCCAGGAATTATCAGTGTTCCGCCCTTGAGCACTTGTCCTGGGTAGTTCAGTTTTATGCACCTGGGCGAACATTTCTTTGTTGCTGGATGCTCCTTTTTAAACGAGCAAGGTGGTGAGCTTGGGCCCACCATAATGCCACCTCTTTACGCTCGCATCTCCCAAAGCGGCAAAAGAAATGCACAATGTGCAATCGCCAGATGCTAGGCGAAGCATTGTCCAGCGCAACATCTGATGGATGTTCAAGAAAAACAACATCTGAGCAGCGTTTGCCCAATGCTGCCAATGCGGTCCATTCCGGGAAATTATGTCTTGTGCATACGGAGGGCAGCCTGGTGGAGCAATACCCTCATGGAGAACAAGAGCTTGTTCCACTTGGTTGCTGGTGACGTGAATCCCTTGGGTCTTCTGTAACCAACCTTCGCGAACCAGTACTACTCAGTAGACCAGTAGATCCTGCCACGATAGGAAGCCAAAGTTCCGATATGTTCCGATGACTAAAGGCAAGTTAATGCTAGTTATGTTAATTATGTTATGTTGCAGAGAAATAGTAAACGCACTCACTCATTTGTGATGCATGTGCATTCATCGAACGATGACACGCACAAATCATGAAGTGTACGAAGACCGCTCTGGTTCGAGGGAAAAGCGCTTCGCATGGTAGCGGAGCCTGAGAAGCCTACCCCCCTTTGGGGGGGTAGGTGGAGGCTCTTTTTTTTTTTAGCTGACGCCATAGGCGTGGTGCTTGGTCCACATCCCAAAGCCCGAAGAGGTTCCTGAGGAGGAGTTCGGTGGCCATGGCTGGTTTGGGAGAAGCAGCTGTATCTCCTTCATCGGCTGCCGGAGGAGGTGAAGGAGCTGAGATCGCAATGAGAATGGTTCAGGCGGCCGAGGCTGCCTCATTAGCTGCAAGGTCGGCGGCTGAGGCCTTGGTCCGGCGCAATGCCGGAGAAGAATCTTGGTTCAAGGTGCTGCCGAAGCCAGCACCACTGGATGCCCGAAATCGTGAGGAGAAGCTCGGACAGTGGCGAGACTTTAGTTGGGGGCTTGAGCAGTACCTTTCATCCCTGAATGGCATGTTCACCGAGGACTTCAAGGACATCAGGGCAAGGCCGAACGACCCCATCGACCCGAGCATTCAATCTGATGAGGAGAAGCAGAGAAGCAAGTTCTTGTATGCCCTGCTAGCTTCTTTGGTTAAGTATCGCCCTCTTGCCATGATCCGCCAGGTCAAAGAGTCCAACGGCATGGAAGCATATCGTCTTCTCATCCAGAGCTTGGAACCCACCTCCAAGAACAGGGCACTCGGCCTTTTGACTATGATCTTGGAATGGAAGCCCTTTGAGATGAAGAAGGGCAGCATCTTGGGACAGGTCCTTCGATTGGAAGAGGCCTTTGCGGAGTATGAGAAAACGGGTTCAAGGCTCGAAGACAACATCCGCTTCGCCGTCCTGATGAGATGTGTTGGTGGCCAGCTCAAAACCTGGCTTCAGCTGAACGTAGCTGAGTCTCAGGACTACCAGAAGCTTCGAGAAGCCATCATCCAGTACGACAATGCGACGATGAGATGGACAAATGTGATGATGCTTGGAGCTGAGGCCGGCGGTACAGAAGGAGTGGTCCCCATGGAGATCGACAGGATCAAGGGCAAGGGCAATGACTACAAGGGCAAAGGAAAGGGCAAAGACTTCGACAGAAAGGGCAAAGGAAAGGGCGATGGGAAAGGAAAAGCCAAAGGTAAAGGCTATGGGAAACCTCAAGATGCTGGAGGCAAACCTCAATCAGAGGGCACAGGAAAGGGAGACAGTCAGAAGGGCCAGAAAGGAAAGACAGATCAAAAGACCTGCTTCACCTGCGGAAAAGTGGGTCATTTCTCCAAAGATTGCTGGCAACGCCTTCGGCAGGTCAGTGAAGAAGGTGGAAACCCCCGATCCAATGCCGAGACAGGAACAGTGGCATCGAGCACCACGACATCGAGCCCAGGGACGAGCGGAAAGGCAGGAACCGTGAAGAGAGTGGAAGAAGTTTCACCTTTTGAATTCAAGAATGAGGCCATGGTCTTCGATTTGAGGCCTATATCAACGCCAAGCATGGACAGCAAGCAAATCAGGATGGTGCAATTTTTCTCCATCGCTGAGGAGAATGAGCCCAATGAGGAGCACGACAAGCTGATCTACCACATCATGGCTGTGAAGGAGCATTAGTCCAGTGAAGGTGGTCATCGACTCAGGGGCTGATGCGACGATTCTGCCAAGCTCCTATTTGGCCATTGGCACTGAGCTAGATGAAGGTGCACCTCGCCTGCAAGATGCTCAGGGGACACCCATAGAGATCCGAGGATACAAGCAAGTGTGCTTCATCTTCAAGACTGAGGATGATAAAGAGGTTCAGATCTTCGACAAAGCCCATTTCTCTGACGAGATCAACCAGCCCATCATTTCCTACGGCAAGTTGATGGAAGCAGGCTGGAACATTGAAGCTGGGCAGTTGAATGGGGGCCAACATTCCATGACGTTTGGTCTAGGGCAAAATGTTGTGAGGATTCCACTTCAGCTGCAAAACAGGAGTTTGGTGGCCACTGGACATCTCCGTGCAGTGGTTGAGGAAGCGTCAGATCCTATGATGGTCAGGGTGCTGGAGGCAAGGCTGCTTGATGGCCTGCAGATGAAAGCTCGATACCAAGTCGGTTGGAAGCAAGAAGAGGACCAGTGGATTGGAGTCAATTTGTCGACGAAGCTGCAAACGCCACAGTTTGTGGGTGAGATTCCTTCAACAGTTGATTGGAGGAGGACGACATTGGTGAAGGTTGGAAACCAATGGCAGTTGTATGAGATGTGTGAAAACCTCCATGGGCTTGTGAACCAGGAGGAGCAGCTTGAGAACATCAAGGACAACACCCTGGTCCTTACGATACTCACCCCAGATGAGGTGAGCACTGAAGATATGGGCTTTGAGGTCGAGACTGGCCTTGACTTGAGGCCAAGGGCGGATGAGGCCCTGGCGATGAGAGAGCATGAGATCCCCATGGAAGAGCCATTGAGGATGGAAGATGAGGCAGGAGGTGCAGAAGCAGCAGCTGATGGGGGATTGATCGCTGAGCGTGCAGTAGCTGATGAACAAGAAGGACGCTTGGTATTGGAGGCCGGACTGCCAGACCATGTGATTGTGAATGACATCCAGTTGACAGCCACAAGCAAGTTGAGAGAACTTCGCGCAGCATGTCACTTCTATGGCATTAGCCAATCTGGGAGCAGGTTGAAGTGTTTTCAGCGCATCGTGAGCCATCTCAAGGAGCGTGAATGAAAGCCGCCTCTGAGGCAGTGGCAGCTGCAGAACTTCAGATGGCCAGACAGCCCAAGATGCAGAACATCATTCCAGTGCCTTCGAAGCAGGTGCAAGATCTACATGCCCTCACACATGTGCCATACCAGCCTTGGTGTGAAGTTTGCTTGAAGTACAGAGGGAGACCTGACCGGCACTTGAGGACAGGTGCTTCTCACACAGGTGGGATTCCAATCATCTCCCTGGACTTTGCCTACACCAAAGCTGGAGAGATAGATAGAGCGCCGGTGGCGAGAGATCGTGGACATGATCCTGATGATGGTGACGAGGTGATCGACCTATATGATCAGGAGGAGCGAGATGGTGAACGTGATCCAAGGATCAGAGAGCTCAAGTCAACCATGTGGCTGATTATGGTGTGCAGCCAGACTGGAAGCTTAGGAGCTGTCCCTCTTCAATCCAAAGGACAGCTGAATCTCATGGCTCGTGAGATCATGAACTTTGTCCACAATTTGGGCCATGTTGAGATTGGCTTGTATGGTGACAACGAGCCAACAATTCGCTCCCTCCTGAGGATCCTTTTGAATAGCAGGCATGCTATGGGCCTTCGAACTCGTCTCTATACCACCAAGGTGAAGGATTCTGCTGGCAACTCCCTGGCCGAGAATGCCATCCAACGTGTACGAGGCCTTGCATGCACCTTGATGGGTGAAGTCATGGCGAAGACAGGCCTGGCGTTCAACACAAATCACGGGCTGTGGAGTTGGGCTGCTCGTCATGCATGTTGGCTATTGAACAAGTTTCAAGCCTCTCAAGGCATCACAAGCCACGAGTTGGTCCATGGCAAGACATACAATGGTGCTTTGGTTCCTTTTGGATGCCCGGTATATGCCTTTGTGAAGCCACAGTCTGGAAAAGGGAATCCCAGATGGAGGATGACTTTGTTTCTGGGAAAGACGGAAGGTCAAGATTCCTGGATTGTTGGAGATGGCAGCCAGGTCATGCTGACACGGTCTGTGAGAAGGGTGGACCGACCTTGGAGGAGCTTTGGCGCCTACTTCCAGAACTTTGCCACCTTCACCTATGAGTACCAGATCAACTTTGGAGGCCGCATTGTTCCAAGCAAAAGAGCAGCCAGCGCAGTCCCTTTGCAGCTTGGGCCAGCACCTCCAAGAGATGAGATCATCTTCCGGTACCGTGATGAGGAGGCTGAGGAAGTGGAGCGCTATGCCTTGTCAAAAGAAGGTATGGAAGAGAGTCAGCGGGAGATTGAGGAAGCCCGTAAGCCCGGTGAAGAAGCAATGACTGCTGAAGCTGGTGAGGCAGCACCATCTGCCCCGCAAAGAGATGAGCCTAGTGGAGGATTGCGGACGCCCCCAGCTCTGAGTGTTCAACCTGGGGAAAAGGGCACAGGAGGAGAAACTCCAATGGTCATTGAGCCATTGCCTTGGGACGATGATCCAGTACCTCCTGAAGGGCGAGTTCTGAAGAAACTCCCGCCACCAGAGTCTGCAGTCAGGGCGGAACCCGAGGCAAAGAGGGCAAGGACAAGTGAATCGTCAGGTGGAAGATCAAGTGCATCAGGACATCAACAGATAGTAGAACGTAGAGTTGAAAAGGTGTGTGTTGGTGAAGACATCATGTACCACCTAGATGAGGTCCTGGATGTTGAAACGATGGCCATTGAAGAGGGTGAAGAGGACTTGGAGGATCTGACTCCTGGAGCAATTCCTGAAGAACTTTGGAGTGACGCACCTCTCACTCAGACTCCTCCAGATCCTGACAGGGAAGTAGACCTGCTGGCGAACAAAGTGGAGGAGAAGAGGCTAATGAGGATGCATGTGATGGAGAAGCTCACTCCAGAGGAGGCGTATTTGGACAAGCTCACCACCCGCTTCGTTCATGACTGGAGGATAAAATCATATGTCCAAGCCGATGGAAAGATGAGGAAGCGATGGCTGCGAAGAGCAAGGCTGGTGGCAAGAGAGTACGCCAATGACAGATGTGATGAGGTGTACAGTCCTGCCTCAGGACAACATGCTCTTCGACTTCTACCTGCACTGTTCTTGAACGACGTGGTATTGAGTCAGGGCATCGGTGGAGACCAAGGAGCACCTACTCTTGGAGCACTGGACATCAAAGATGCTTTCCTGCAGGTTCCTCAAGAACGTCCTCTCCAAATTACCACGAATACAGGCTACTACAAGGTCCTGATTGGAGCTAAAGCCTGGTACGAGTTCCTTCGAAGCTACCTCGAGAGCGAGCTCAACTTCACCTTCGATGTGGTGAACCCCTGTCTAGGACGAAAAGGTGCAGGAAGTGAACTCGTGTGTGTCTTGGTGCACGTTGACGATGTGATGTTCACTGGACGTCAGAGGCCAGTGGATGCCTTTGTGGACAAATTGAAGGAAAAGTTCGATGTCGAGGTCTCTATGATCAGGAACCACAACGATGAGTTCTCCTTCCTCAAGCGAAAGTATGTCTATGTCCCTGAAGGCCTCCTGGTGAGACCTGGACAGTATGCCACAAGGATGATCAAGACCTTTGAGGACAAACATGGACCTGTGAGGAGACAGCGACTGCCAGCCACATCCGACATCCAAGATGCTGATGGATCGAATGCAGTTCCACATGAGATGATAATGATGCTTCAGTTTTTCGCTCCATTGTTGGTATGGGCATCTACCTTTCACAAGAAAGGTTGGACATCAGCTTTACGATAAAGGAGCTGGCCAGCAAGATGGCAAGCCCAACGGAGCTGGCAATGCAGAGAGCTCGAAGGTTGGTGGGCTACCTCAAGGAGACCGAGGAGCAACACATCCTACTTCCTCTACCAGTACAAGGGCAAGGCCTGCGTGGACACAGCCACGAAATCTGGCTCCTGGAGAGCTTCACAGATGCTGATTGGAGTGGCAACAAGGCAACGAGAAAGAGCGCATCTTCGTCCGTCCACAGCTTGAATGGCATGGTAGTGTATACTACTTCGAGAGGCCAGAAGGTGGCGAGCCTCTCTTCAGCTGAAAGTGAACTACATGCACTGGTGGCAGGAGCATGTGATGGCATCTGCATCAAGCATGCTCTCGAGTTCTTGACAGGAGACCCTGCGCAGCATGTATGTTGGGTGGACAACTCCGCAACAAAGCAAATCGCCAATAAGCGTGGAGCTGGACGACTCCGCCACATCAATGGAAAATTGCTCTGGTGCCAGAGCAAAGTGGCTGATGGCACCATGGAGGTCAAACAAATCAGCACAGTGTTCAATGTTGCTGACATTGGCACAAAGCCTCTATCCAAAGCAAGGCTGAGACTCCTTCTGTTCTGGTGCAATGCCAGAAATGGAGATGGAAGCCGTGTGGGTGAACAGGAGCATCAGGACTTCGAGAACAACCACCTTCGAGAAGGGTAAAATCATGAAAGTCGCGAAGTACCTCAACAAAATTGTCTTCTTGAGCGGTCTTGAGCTGGCCGCGGGTTCCAAAGCAGATGAGAGCTATGTTGAGAGCCACTACATGTTTCCCTTCCAGTGGGTGATCCTCCTGACCATCTTTGGCTTCCTGGTCTTTACCATCGTGATCCTATGGAGCAGAGTTCAGACCTTAGCCAAGAGGGTTGCCTTCCTGCAGCACCGAGTTGAAGAAGAGGCCCAAGCACAGCAGAAGTACATGGAGGAGCAAGACAGGGAGAACTCCATGGCAGTGGACTATACAGAGCGAATCCACAGAGGCCTGATCAATGCTGGAGGTCACGTAGAAGATCCCTCAGTGCAGAGGGTAGAGTGGCAGAGCCTGAAGTATGTGGAGGAGGTCAACAAATGGCACGATGGTCTGAGATTGAGGAAGAGGTGGAACAAGATGGAAGTGATCCAAGCAGAACGAGGAGATCAACTACCAGGAGCTGGCATCTATCGCATTGACGTTGATCCTGGTGAACCTGGTTTGAGTGGAGATAGTGTGGTTCTGGTGCTAGACAATGTGCGAATTGTCCAAGTGCCAGTGGAGTATGTAGAGCCGACTGCAAGCGAAGCCGCTGGAAGATGAAACGAAGAAGTCTCGATGGTTGAGCCAGAACCATCGCCAGGAGAAGAAGGACAACAAGATGAATCTATGGACAGTGAGCACGAAAGTGCCCCGGAGGTTGTCGATGCTCCCTGGGAACCGGAGAGCATCAAAATTCCAGATCCCCAATTTGGCCATTTCAATAGAGCTTACAAGCGAGCAGATCTCACCGCTCGGGAGGAAGTTTTGAAGATGGAGGCCAATTGGTTCCATGGACATAGGAATGGTGCACGAGATCTGATGCATGAAATGCAAGACCTGATGGCCGGATCCGTGCACCACATCCACAACTTTGACCCGTGAAGGGTTGAACCATGAGTGAGACACTCAAAGGTTCAAAGGAGGAGTGCAGAGAAATAGTAAACGCACTCACTCATTTGTGATGCATGTGCATTCATCGAACGATGACACGCACAAATCATGAAGTGTACGAAGACCGCTCTGGTTCGAGGGAAAAGCGCTTCGCATATATTAGCTTAGTATTAATGAATCTTGACTTTTGTTGTGAGCTTATGATGGTTACTTTTGGACAGGCCTAGAAGTGAACATGGACATCTTGGGCAAATTCATCTCATTCGTGGCGATTCATAGTCTACTGAAACCATCTTTGACCTTGAAATCAGTCCTTGCAAACCTAAGCAATCTCTTAAGCTATCAGAAGCGGTGAAAACAGATGTCCTGTGCGTGAAAAACAGATGTCATGAAGATTCCTATCGAAAGACTATGGGTATGGCATAGCAACCCCCCCCCAGAAAGGTGACGTTCTCACTTGTTGGTGGTTTCCGTTCTTTAAACCTGACCACTTGGTCAACAAGCATCAATGCTCATTGTAGCTCTGACGTGGGAAAGCAGGAAAGCGGTTCAAGGCACGAGGAGTAGATGCATTGACAGAGAGGTCCAAGTGAAGAAATCCAAATGAACCACTTCAAACGCGACATGGGCTCAAAAACCTAGGTTTTGGAGGGTTGAATCCAAAGGGCACGTTGGGACTTGTGAACATCTCACATATGCCAGCCTGCCCTAAGTGGGAGCCCAGGCTGGTGAATACATGAATCCATCCGCCTCGCTTGCTTCCTCACGTAGGCCAAAACGTGGTTGAACTTCAGCAACTGCACCTTCGATCCCCGCACCGAGTACATGCGCCTGGGATTCCTGATGTTTGCGCTTGGCCGCATTGACATTGGCAGGCATGTTCAAGATTTGAATGTGCATGTTCGACAACCCGAAGCGGGAACATTCGGTGCTCACGGAGCAAGAAAACACAATTTGGATTGATGAGGTCGGCTGTTGAGAAAGATGAGTTGGAGTTGTTTTTTTGTTGCTGTTGGTGGTGGTTGTCATCGTGGTCGTTTCAAATAACCACTGAAGCGGCTAGGTCCAGGTGTGGCCAGTGTGAAACCTTCTCGCTCATCGCAAAGTCTTGCCTTCATACTTCATTAGATATTGCCTTGCAAGCACAGACTTCTGAATGCATTTCAAGACTTGTCCATGGACTGCCTTTGTATAGGCAATCCAAAAGCACCTCTATGTCACAGACAGCACGTCAACAGCATGGTAGAAGGCCTTGGAAGTCACCCGAGGATAGGGATCTACATCGAGGATTTCAACGACAACAGTGATGGAGAGATCAGCAGTGTGCGGGTACTGAAGCTGGCTGATGCTAGCCGCTTGGTCACTGCGGGGAAGCGGTCACCATGATCCCACTACTTGCTAGCAGATTTGTACCAGGTTGTATCTATCGTTTGCAAGTCGTCCTGGTAGTACTGCATGGTGGTAGGAAATGATCATAGTAAGGCGTTGCAAAGCCCGAAATGCTTTGCAGAGCCACGGGACAGCAAATTTGCCACAACCAATAGGACTGCTGAACATTTGCAAGGGGACAGAGCATGGCAGGAGCAGTGCAGGCTGGAACAAGTCCCACCTGGACTTGCTCGTTTGCGGGGAAGATATTGTGACTGAGTCCATGGAGGCCTAGCTCCATCAATGGTGAAACCTTCCACGGGCATGTAACCGCTGTCATGTGTGTAATTAGTTGGTTGACAAGGTGACAAGCACCACTGGATCAACCAAGATGGTCATCCACCTGGATTGAAAGGCTGGAAGAATGGTCGTCCAATGATTAGGAAGGCTTGGCGGCCTCACGTCATTTCCCCCCAGTGTTCAAATGAATTTTCTAACGGTCGGATTTTCTCAACATGTTGTGAGGGGGCAATGGTGTTTCGCTGCCTATGCTCGATAGACCCTCGGACAAGCCTTATCAACCACCAATCAACCATGAGTCTCCATGAAGAGATCCACATGCTACAAACCACTCAAACACACTGCTCAGCACCATCCAGGTGACTCCTTAACACGAGAGTGACGGTCATGTGGGGGCGGAACGGAACCTATTCTCTCCTCCCGAAAAGCAATCGAGAGCCTACAGGTTTGATATGGTTTGATTTGGGCCCAGGCAACTACTTCATCATTTCACCCAGACTCCTGGGCACCGCCTATGCTGATAACTTCACCATGGAGTTTCGGACAGCCTACGCAGGCACGGTAAGAAAGTTCGAGTGATGACGTTTGCCAGAGATACTGTTCATAGAGGCATTTGGATCAACAAATAAACATGTAAAGGATGAAAAAAAATAACATTATCAAAGAACAAAGTAAATGAAACAAATAATCAAGTCTTCGAGTCTAGTGGTCCCCTAGGCCCTTGGTCTCCTAGTCCACTGCTCCTTCGATCGGTCTCTTGGTCTGCTAGTCCGCTGGTTTTCTGGTCCTTCGGTCTCCTGGACTGGTTCTTTGGTATATAAATAAACTCAAATGGAAGGTCGTCCATCGGTTTCCTGGTCCTTTGGTGCCCTAGTCCATTGGTCCCCTGGTCCACTGGCCTCGCGGTCCATTGGTCAATGTTGGTCAAAAACACGAGGTTTGCGAAAACAAAGCGCTACCCGGTTGCCCGGTTCTGAGTGCCTTTCATTGGTGAGGCAATGGGGTGTGTAGGATTCGATGGTGATCTATTTTGTGATGCCTGTTGGGTCTGATGGCTTCTGATGCTTGGTTCGCTCTGGGGGGGAGGCGCTGCACCCTCCCCCCAACCCCGCTCCAGCGCCACGAAATCTACACTACTTTTGCCAATGAGCTAGGCCTACCACGACAGATTTTCTAAAGGTCACCCAGGCACCCATCGCTCTCACAAAATATAGCACGCACCCGCCTAAGTCTTTTTGATTTTGTGTTGCCTTGCACGCAGTTGCAAGCGTCCGTCCTTTCACTGTCCTGTGGTGGATGGGCCCCTCATTGGTTGGGCAATACGGTGTGCAGTTTTTGATGATGCTGTATTTATTTTGTGGTGCCTTCAGCGTCTGGTGGCTTTTGTAGTTTGCAACCTCGCTTCGGCGCCACGAAGTCTGCACTACTTTGGCCAATGCACTGGGCTGCCACGACCGACACTTTTAACCTCACCCCATCGCCCCATCGCATATCCACACTGCAAGTATTGCACACCCTCGCCATCCCTCGCCTAAAGTTTTTGATTATTTGTTGCAATCACCCTTTCATGGTTCTCTGGTCGCCTGCCCTGTTGCTGTTGTCCTTTCCCTAGTTTCCGTTTACTTTCATTGCTCACTGGGCATATGTTTATTTTGATCCCTTTCCTTTTTCTTTTTGATCCCCGTCGAATATTCTTTATTGATGCTGCTGTGCTTAGTTTTTGATCCCTCACCGGATTCGCTTGATCCTTGTGCGAGGTGGTTTGCGGGCGAGTTCAAGCAATTACTGTGAAGTGGATACCTTGGGAGAACATCATGCGACATGCATTACTTTGATATGTGACGGTCGGTGCCTGGCTTTTCTGTCGCCAATCGCCACATGCTTTCAGTCTTGGTTACTTCGCAGGTCTTGCCTGGTGCGCAATCGTTTTGCCTGTGACTTGGCAAGGTTTCGGGATGTCTCGGGGGGAAGTCACGAAGGAGATTCGCATTTGGCTATAATACCTCAAAGTGCACTATGTCGGTACACCCCAAAGAGCAAAACACCAATGCGAAATACCAACATGTGTGGTCTCAACATGTGAGATCCACAAGCACCATCCAATCGGTGAGTTGTTCTCTGCGTGGTTGAGGTATGTTCACTAGTGGGGCACCAGGAAGTAAAAGCAGATGCTTTTCACAGATGTCGTACGGAACCAGAACACATTTCTCCTTAAGAGTGCTTCTTTGGTGCTAGCGTTGGTTGGTCAGCCGGGCGTAGTGGGGAGGCATCAGCTCAGGAGATGGTCCAAGAAGTACCTGGAGCTTCAGTGATGAGTGGCACCGTCAGTCTAGGCAGGGCCGTTTCATGCTCTGTGATGTCTTCAGATGATGTCAGACAGAGCACGGCAGAAACATTGCCGCTTGATGTAGGACTCAAACCCGCTTGACAGAGAATTCACCGATCGCGCCACGACGTCCATCACCATGAGGTGGGCCTTCCTGCTGTCGTAGCTCGATGCCCATCACTACAATGCAGAACGAGCTACAAACCTGGAGTTTGACACACTGTGGCTCTGACTTGAAGAGAACGGTGAGAAATGTCTGCAACATTTGGTTGAAACTCGTCTCTCCGACCGGTGAAATGGATGTTTCCAATTTCCCTCTAGGAATGGGAATGGCCTACAATTTGACGGGTCTTCCGAGATGTAGTGGATGGCATTGAATCCTTACAAGATTGAAGAGCTTTGCGAGCACCGTGCAAACAAACACGGCAATTGGCAATAAAGTATGAACCTGGAGAACAGAGTGAAGAAGACATGGATTGAGCACAAAAGGATCAGACAATTCGTTGCACTCCACAGCTTGTGAATGGACTAGTTCAGTAAGTTTGGATGAACGTGTGATTCAGATTTGGATCATCTCAAGTTGTATGTAATTATTGGACAGAGAAGGGGATGGGATGGCAGGGGTTTGCACACTTAAAGAAAGGATCTTGTGATATTTTGTGCAATTGATTGGCATAATGTGCAGCAGCTGAAAGTTCTCATATGTTCATATATGCATGTACTTACAGAGGTTTTGTAGCATCCGGGCTGTCATTTATTGCCGAGATCATTTGCTGCGAGGTGGGCTATCGATGGACACGGAGTATGTCTTCCTGATGCAACTCCGCCATGGTTTTTTGTGAGGATGGTCAAACATGTAGAGAGTGGGAGTCACATCTCTCTCCCGTGTCTCATGAATTGTACGGACCACAAGAGCAGTGCATCAGCACAACAGTGACATTCTGGGCAAATGACCATCCCCTCACCACATGACCTAGTCACATGATACACATGTATGTTATAGTATATTATATAGGAATGTTCGAGCTTTCAACTGTTCTTTTTCCGTGAAGTACGTGGCTCAGGTATATTAGCCTTGGTGGGCTGGACGGTACCCTCAACTCTGGATATCGCTTCAAGACCTTTGGCACTTTGGGCCATATCCGATGCTTGGACCGGATGTGGTTGGGATCAACCGGTGGATGGTGAGAGGTCCGGAGGATCGAGTTGAACCTCGCAGACTTGGCGAAGAAACCGATGGATGTGTATGGAACGACTGGAGGACACGTCCAAGGATTTCCTGTTTGTTTGGGACAGTCCCTGGGCTTAGATGGGTTCACCCATCGTTTCATGTTATGGCTCAGGGAGTTTCTCCGGGTTCATTTGCTGGAAGTGAGCCGCTGTCTTATGAGGCCATCTAGCTAGTATCTTGGATGGTGCTGGTTACTCAGGTGTCACCGTCAGATAGGGCATGGTTGGCTGAGTAAATAAACCGCCAACATAGTCCTTTTACAAAGGGTTTTAGAAGATGCATGCAAAAGAAGGAGCAATAAGGAACATATTGCTGAAACAAACAACCCTCAACCCCACCCAAGATGTTTTCCGCGCAGCGGTCGTGCACAGGCCCTGCGTAGTTTATCATATATAAATGGTTCCGGTGTGTTTGTGTGTGTTGTTTTCAATCAAGTAGCACAACTTCTATCCACTACACTGGAGAGTATCTTGAAATCGTTCATGGGGTCCCTACTCGTACTAAGCGCCCGCATCAAGGATCATATTATATACTACTATGGTTATGCCTGTGAATCCAAAGGATTTCACTTTGTTCCACAGATATCAAGCCGGTGCCGTTCTGCACAGTCTTCAGAAAGTTTCAGGGCTCACTTGTTTTCATGCGACCAAAACAGTGTTTTACAACCTCTTTGAAGACCTCTCGCTCTCCATCTATCGATATTGCAATTTATATATATATATATATATGTATCATATAATCATATATAATCATGGGGTTGGGGGGGCTAAAGGGTGGGGCCATTGAGCTTATCATGTAAGCTCTGGATAGGTGATTTCTGGTTAAAGGCTTATTAACATCTCAATAGAGGTTTATCAAGGGCCTATTAAGGTCTATTAGGAGCTTATTTGATAAGCACTTAATAGCCATCCTTATTGAGTTTATTGTTGAGGGCATGTGGTCCTCCAGAAAAACCACTGTTTTTGGACACTTGAGACCTTGAACCGTTTCAATAGAATGGTAGACACCCTGGATAGTATCCTGGATGAGTTGATTACTTTGCACGCAATAAATTAGGTGTGTTTCATGTGAAAATTCATCCACACTGGTCCAACAAAATGGACTGGCGTGTCGCCACCAAATGCCAGTTTCCCTCAACCCTTCATGCCCAGACCATTGGTGATGCCGCTCGGATAAGAAATGTATGAACAGCCACCTCCACTGCAGCCCAGCTAGCTGCAAGCCCAAACCCTTACAAGCGCTCTCTCGACTTGGAATGTGTGGGGGGCAAAGGTTGGTGATGCAAGTGATGCAAATTAAGGCCTTATTAAGACATCATTAAGGCCTTATTGGATAAGCATTGGATAAGGCCTTAATAAGCTATGAATAAGGCCTTAATAAGGGATGGGAATGCAAAACCATGGTTTTTAACTGGTTTTGGACATCTCCAATGCCAAAACACTGCTATTTGCAGGGCGTTGGACATCTCCAGGGCCAAAGCACTGCTATTTTCAGGGTTTTTGCCAAAGCGCTGCTATTTACAGGGCTTTGATCATCCCCAGTGCCAAACCCTTGCTATTTACAGGGTTTTGGACATCTCCGGTGCCAAACCATCGCTATTTACAGGGCTTTGGACATCTCCAGGGCCAGCACCACCAATGTGCATTCGGGAGGGGCTGTTCATGTTGTTTCTTATCCAGATCTTATCATTTAAGCTAGAAATGCTATCCAGACCTTAAGTGATAAGCTCAACAGCCCCCCCCCCCTTCAGCCCCCCCCACCCCGTGATATAAAATATCATAGCTATTTACCTATCATGAAAACCTCATCATGGTAGTCGCCTTCCATACCTTTGGATTCCCCAGATGTTGAATCGACCGCAACAACAGCTCCGCTCCGGCTGACATCGCCACAAAGTCGTTCAAAGTCCGCACAAGCTCCGCTCCGCACGAGGAGTAACCTGGCTTCAAAAAGAGACGGATGTGGGAGGCCCCGTGGACCGCTACCGGCTCTTCCTCAACGGCACGAAGGTGAAACCGGATTGGGGAGGTTCGGTTGATGCAGGTACTTGGTTTTGTGAGAATGAACAAGAGTGTGGCAGTCGCTTCATGGTGTTCTTCGTGCTTGGTAGTTCATCATGTGTTCCTTTGGTACCATGTCCATCCATGTCCCAGATCCGCATGTCCGCCATTCATGGCGCGAACGGCACGTTGCGACGTGACACGATCGGCTCGGCAGATCTATGACGACTACAGCCTTCGCGGCAGCCTGGAAACCAATCGTGCAGGATCCCCACCACAGTGGGTGCGGGTGGTGGATGTCGCCTGCACGCCAGGCCGGAGTTAGAGGAAGTTGGCGCCAAGGAATGTAAGATAGAAAGCTTAGGTGGAGAGAGTGAAGGTTATTCTTTGACAAAGATCCCATGTTCGACATGTTTTCACTTTTGTTCGCCGACATGAAACGAGTCAATCATTTGGAGGACAGCAATTGTACTTGGATGCCTTGGATGCACATGTTCTTCAGGCATCAACTACGAGATCACCTTGAGTGGGCGGAACTTCGCCGGCTGGTCGCTGGACGCACTCGTGGAGTCGTTGGGGTTCGGTGGAGTCGGACCGAAGGGTGTCGCTGGGAGTTCGGTGAAACCGTCGGTTGACCGACTCGCGCACCGGTCACGTTGACCGTGCCGAGATGAGGATTTGACCCGACCGGAGATTTTGAGGAACCACGCGTGGGAGGGGATGGGAGTCGAGATGAGGATTCCGTCGACTGACCTATTGTAGGATGTGGATCTGGTTTTACAGTTGTTGTGCAGTTTTCGAGGATTTGTGCAGGGATGGTATCCATTTTTCACAGAGCTGCTTCACTCATGTAGTGCTGAGAGAAAGCAGTAATTTGTGCATCCTTCCGACCCAAATCCATGTATCTTCGGCTGAAGAATTGACGGCCGAACATGGGACTTCCGAATGAAGAGCTTTACAATACAGGACTCACGTTTGAGAGTTCGATCTGAGGAAGCTAGATTCTGGATGGTTCGTGGACTCGTTCATGGAACCAGGGTTCATTGGGACGCTGAGAACATCAAGATCTCACCAAAGTTAAAGTCTTTCAACGCATCCTATAAATACCAAGGAAGCTCCTAGGTCCTACGGTAGTACGCGTAATTCCTTGCTCTTTTCAGCACCATATCCACCTGTCCAGGTCGTCCCAAAGCGCCCCACTGGTTACTGGCTGCTTCCTGCGTCCCGGGAGCATCTCAAATCTTCGGGAGGCACTGGGAAAACATCGTTGACATATCATCATATTTCATCGATTTGCCGGACGAACTTGATGTTTTTCAATGTCCTGAAATTGAATCATCAAGATTCAAGAGGAATGAGCTGCAAGACACACCACTTGACGCGCACTAAAAACATGAGTACTCGCCAGTGGACACAGACCTACCGGAGACAACTCCTGCATTGACTCCGCTGTGCATGTCGAGTCAGTTCCTCAGAAGTTGGACTCGATGACTCACAGAAGGAAGTGGCGCGTCAGTACCAAAGTCCAGCATCCGAGACAATCAGTCTGGGTGCAGCGGTTGAAGCGTAGTGGTCATTCCAACTTCCTGGCTTAATGTGAAGGCAAAATATGGGTTGCGGGTTTTCATTCCCGAAGGCAGAGGGATCAGTTGCCTGATGGGTAAGGCCATGGCTTGCATCGTTGCTTTGCAGCAGATGACACCATCTCATGGAGGTTCGACTCCTCCCTGATCCGCTGCTTCTTCACTCCTTTTCTTAGCTCCTTGCGTTTGTTTGCTTGCTTGCTTGCTTGCTTGCTTGCTTTGATTTGCGTTGCTTTGCTTTGCTTTTTTGCTTTTCTCTTTTGGCTTTTGCTTTGCTTTTGCCCTTGCCTTTGCCTTTTTTGCTTTTGCTGTTTTGCTTTTGCCTTTTCCTGTGCCTTTTCCTTTGCCTTGCCCTTGCCCTTCCCTTGGTTTGCTTTGCTTTCTTGCTTCGCTTGCTCGCTTGCTTGCTCGCTTCCTTGCTGGCTGGCTGCCTGCCTGGCTGGCTGGCTGGCTTGCTTGCTTGCTGGCTTGGTTGCTTGCTCTTGCTTGCTTGCTTTTGCTTGCTTTCGCTTGCTTTTCGGGTCTTCTTTATGGCAAGAATGCTACCAGTAGTAAGGCGAGGAACCCTAGTAGCGTCCTTGCTCCTGCTAGTAAGGCCAAGGAGCCCCTAGTAGTAAGGCCAGGACCTAGTACCAGTAGCATCTTGTTCCTGGTAGCAATGCCAGGAGCCCCTAGTAGCGTCCTTGCTCCTGGCCATGCTCGGCAATTCCAGGTCCAATCCTGGCAGCTCAGTGAGGACCGCGCCGCTTTGGCCCTTGCCTGGGACGCTCCACTGGACTCGGCGGGCGCCGACACGGTGCGCTGGGGGCCGTTCTCGGCTGTGCCAGAAAAGGGCACGCGGTCGGCACGCGCGGGTACGGGGTGAAGAATCATGCAGTCCGTGTTTTGTTGATCTTTGGGCAACTTGCCACAGACCGTGTCACAGACCAGTTTGGAACTGAGGGAGTCCTAGCTTCGACACCTCATTTGACACCGATATTGTCACCAGTTTCACACACGGCATTCATTGCCCTTACACTTGATAAATTCAATGGGCTTTAATTGATAAGATCGATGGCTAACGTATTTGCCTCGAGTTCCTTGTTACTCCTGCTGCCAGTAAACCTGCATTACAATATGGGAACACAATAAGAGCCCCGGGCTAACAAGGAAGTCTTTAAGCCTGCTTACCTCATTGGAATGGTCATTTGAAGAAACATTCTTGTATACATCAGTACAACCTCCCAAAGTCCTCGGAGTGGATTTTGGTCACCTGCCCCAACTGCCGCTGGAACCGACCTCGCCGGTGTTTTCCCTCGGCCAGGCTTACTACAACGTCTACCGCGACCAGGGTCTTCGGCAGGCGCTCTTCCAGCTGATCGGCACCACGCAGACGCCCTTCTTCAACGACACTGGCTTGGATGCTGGCAGGGCATACGGCTACCAGGCCGACAGCGAAAAGACCCAAAAGGGACCCAGAGGGGTTTTTGTGTTTCGTTTGAGTGAAACAAAAGGATTTCGGGTGTGACCCATAGACAAGTGACCGAATGAGCTTGGGGAGGCCTGGGTGTGTCCTTATGTGTGGAGGGTAGTTACCAGGAAAGCACATTCTTCAAATCGATCAAGAGGTGCCTTAGAACACAGTGAAGAGGAGACCAAGTTGGCCTGGAAGAGAAGAAGAAATCCATGCCTCCAAGAATGGTGCAAACTCCAAGGATGGCCAGAAGGAAGGAAGGATATGGAAGGATCATGACATTTGCTCAACCACTATATATAGTCTAGTTACATCTAGTTACTATGGAAGATGAAGAGGATCACCCCAGCTGATGACCAGTGATTTACCGCTTTTGCCAGGTCACTGCGGTGAATGCCTTTGGTGAAGGAGTCTTGGCAAGGGTTCAAAGCCTCCATTTTTTTTCCAGATTTGGGGCTGCATAAGATCCATCATGATCCATCCATCTAGTGATTGTAGGAAATGCATATACAGGTCGTTTGGCTTGGAAACTGAAGACCTTGTACTACTAGCTTCTTGTTACTACTAGTAAGGCACTTGTTACTACTAGCGATGCACCTGTTACTACTCATGCCAAAATCCACGTAATTTTCACCGGTGGCTTGGCGAACTCTTTGTTTAACCTCACTGAGAGTCACGGGTGCGACGGGGGTCTCCACGTCTCGTCGGTATACCACGCGATGTGGTCGAACAAGACATGCGAAAGTCCTACGACTGAGTCGGTTATTTCGTTTCTCCCAGTCATCTTGGGATCTTCACTGTACTTCTTGGCTGGTGTGCTCCCCCATGTTCAGTGTATTTGGAAGTGGGTTGCGGTCTTTGAAATAGGCTTTTTCATGCTTTTGCATGACCACCTCTGTCTAGCTTTGGCAATCGTATATTAAGCGCCTATTTTTCGTGACCAAGGTTTCGAGCATACACTACTAAGCAGGTAATGAATGAACAGTGAAAGAGCCAGATTTGTCTTCCACAGTTCTATCTGCTGTTGTCGGCTAGTACCCGCAAGAGATGACAGAATATGACTCCATTTTACTGGTAGGAACCCCACTACCATGATCTCAAAGATGTGCGTTCTGCCTGGTGGTGTCCATCAAAGCATTCCGCATTCCAATCTCTCCTGCCGCAATCCACTTGGGTCACAAGGAGTGCCGCGAATGTTGAAGACTTTGATCCCGCCGTTTGCCTGAATCAGGAGCTGTGAGTGACGTGCTCTTTGTGCAAGCGGCGGACACTCCAGTGGATGCCTCTCAAAGGGAGCGGGCGTTGCGTTATGCTGCATGCTTGTGTAGGGCTTACGGGTTGGAGTATTGGATGGAAATTCGCATGTGAAGGTCTATAAACTTGACGTCCAGGAACATGCATGCTTTGAGCAGTTAGAGACAATGTTGAATGGATAAATTATCAGAAATTGTTGGTCAATGTTGCTCATGGGTATGTGATGGATCATTCATCCTCTGTAGAGCAACGTATTCATTCTAGGAGTGGCCATAGGCTCTCGGCAAGGCGGGCGGGCTCAGAATCCACAGTTCAGACTATCTCCAACGGTGCAACTCGAACTCTCACGAAGTCATTCCCTGACTTGACATATATATATATATGTAATATATATCTATATAACTATAATATATAGTGCTAACTTGTCTGCAACAATATTGTATTTTAGTTCCGTTTCTGCAACCTGTTGCCAGGACTTGTCAGGCTTGCTGAGCCAAGCCAACGTCCAGCTCACACCGGCCGCCACCTTCGGAGTACTTGATGAGGCCGCCGTGGCTGTTTGGTCGTGGTGGCAAGGACTACTACTATATCGACTCAAAAGGAATAATCGGTAGGAGCGAACATGTTACATCATGTTGTATCCAAAGCTAGATGGAAGCTGGTGGCAGGTCTCGTGACTTGTGTTGCTTGGATTTTCAGGAAAGATGTCATTCGTGCCTGGAGATGGTTTGGCACCATTTGTGCAAGAAACATGTGTCAGCACATGTCAGCACTGTTTACTACTATGTTCAGGAAGCGTTCACTTAGAAGCCTTTGGTATTGCCACCGCGTGTGTCCGAAATGGAGAGCACCATCACTTCGTCCCGTTGGATCCTGGATGGGCTACTCCTAAGAGCATGAAGATGCCACTCGAAGGACCTACCGGATGACCTACTGGACTACCTACCGAGCCTCTGTTTAACTTTTTAGCCCGAGGCCCCGCCTCCCTACTTAATAAGTAGGCGCCTACTTAAAGCTTGATTAAGTAGAGAAGTAAACTACTAGCGCTAGCCTATATAAGTGAGTTTCTAGGAAAGACACAGGATAGCTCACGCTTCTTCAAGAAAGCTCCCCCCGCCTGAGAGCAGCGGGGAGCTTCGAAGAAGCGTGAGCACTAATCACCATCTCATCGATGCACGTCATCTCAGTGTCTCGTATCTTCGACTCCTCAGGTGGGTGGAGTGGTGCAAATCTACAGCGATGCTTGGCGTTGACTATATATACTATAGTATTATATATATATATAGCTTTTAAACAAATAAAACATAGTGTATGTATTTTTTGCTAGGCATGGTAAGTTCCGAGTTCCAAGAAACATGGACCTGAGGACATGGCACGTGAGCTCCGTGCTTCTTGGCCTAAGCCAGTGCGGCTGGCTTCCACCAAAAGAAATTCAAATAGAGCCGTAAGTGGGAAGAATGGGGCTCTAGTTAGGGCTCTTTTTCGGATGGTCAATTCCCTCCTTGTGCGAAGACAGTGTGCATCGCTGCACTCACTTCAAGTGGGCTGCCTTCTGAGCAGGTGTTTTCTTGTTAGAAGAGAAAGGGAGTGTCGCCAACCCAAAAGATGCGCGAAGATTCCTCAAAGCTTATGATTGGATGCGCACCAAGATAGTCAAGTGGTAAGTGGACACTTGTCGAATTACAGATCTTTCCTTAGAGAGCCATGCGGGTCCATTCCCCCCGATCCCTCATCCATTTCCCTATGAGCTTTCACCTCTTCCCGAAGACAGCGCGACTTCCTCGAACCCTGGGGGATCACCATCTCTTGGTGTTGTTGCTAAGGGCAAAGTGGCTCATTGTTCGAAGCATAGACATCCCTACAGTTCCCACATTAAGACCCAGAAGCATGATTTTCCTTGCGGCTCCACCTGTCAAATTGCATTCCCAAATTGCATTACTGCAACTCATATTAACTCTGATCACTTTGCTTGTGGCTTCTGGTTTCGGTTTCGTTGATCGGTTCACATCACGTTCTTATCGGCTTCGTCGGCAGGTTGAGGGCTACACCGGTCAACGCCAGGCGCATGTGGCTGCCTTTGGCCCCGTGCGCTTAGCGTTGGAGGCCTCATGCGGTGGAGGGCGATTTGGTCGGTGGTACGTGGACATGGTGGATATATATGGATAATATGTGGATAGAGAGGAGAGACATACAGCTCTATATAAAGGGAGGTGCATACGTAGCTTTTTGTGGTAGACAGTGGCTGGGGTGTATGGGAAGGATAGAACTCGAAGTTTGGAAGTCCACCGTCCACCATTCTTGAGATGCAACTTCTTGATAGTCATTTGGGTGTAGCCAGAAACGATGGATCTATATGTAGAAAACACGTGAAAGTTAATAGAACTCAGATTCCTGGGTGTTCTTATTTGTTCTTGGCATGTTGACTCTTGCCATTGGCAGTCCAGCGTTCCTTTCAATATGGACCTGCTTTGCTCTGGAGGCACTGGACCTGGCAGGGAACACTGGAGAGGAGGATCCCTGTGAGGAATCCAAACTGGCGATCGCCGTGGGTGTCCCTGGGCAACCACTCTCCCGGGAGGGCCGTTGCGGATGCTGACGTGTCGGTCACTGGTGAGGTGCCGGTCGGCGGTCATGACCCCCACCGGTTTGGTTGAAAGACCTTCTCTCATATCATGATTACATAAGATTACTCAATAATTACTTGATGAATTTAATTGATATAAGACGATAATACAATATGTGTATGTACAGTGCCTTAAAATCTTCATGGATACTATCTTCATGGCTGATAGGAGAGTCCCTGGAGATCCGCGGTCGCAGAGGGTCAGGGTCGCGACCTGCATGGAGGGGTGCTTCCAAGGACCTCCATCACGAGTTTTGCGCTGGCGACCTCGCTGAAGCGAACTCCGTCGTCCATGCGCTTTCGCCGCTGGGAATTGGTTGGCGAAAGCGGGTGGAGAAAAGGATTATTGTAGAAGGGCTTTGCAGGTTCAGTCATGAGCGCCAGCAACTCCTGTTGAACAATGAAATCCTGTTGTAGGCTTCGAGCAACGCCTTTCGGTCAGATGTCAGAAGGCTCCGAAAGCTGTGGTAGACAATGCCTCAGCCAGACCCGGATTGATGCCTCCAAGGCATGGGCTATCATGGGCTGACCAACCACCCGCAGATCCATTGTAACACCATCCCCCGAACCTTAAAAGACATTTGGACCCTTAGACCATCAAACTACAATCTACTACAATCTGAACTAACACAATGTTGGAAAACACGTGTTCTGAACCTACCCAACCGTGAACCCTGACTAAACAACAACCTGTAAGACCTGCCTAAAAAAGCCATCCAAATGCACCACGTGCCTTTGCATCTGATATGCAAGATTGTCTACTGACAGAGGCCCTGCAGATTCCCTGCATCTTAGTGGTCAGGAGATACCAAGAAAAGATCCTGCACCTGGAAATCAGGGAAAATCAGGACGAACATCCATTCGAATCTCTTTTCCTTTGCCCAGGCATGGGGACTTTGCCCTCATCAGCTGGCAGACTGGCTGGATTAGCTCATCCAGTGACACCTCATCCAGCGGCTGGAGGATTAGCTTGACGCCGTGGCGCTAACCCGCCAAAGCTTGCAGGGGCGCCCACAGCGTTGGCTGTGCTGCGTTTTCTCAGAGGCGAAGAAAGCAGTGGAGCAGACATGAGAAGCAACAGACATGGACGAAAGAATCAGTTGGGTGGAATTTATCTGTCCAAATCTGGTAGATAATTTCTTCGTCCTGATATGTGTGATCAATAGAACAACCCTGGAAAGGGTGCATAGGTGCTTCTTATCATGTTTGAATGGCCAAAGGCCTTCAGACCTTGAGGGCGACCCTGGCCCGGCCGGTGTGACCACATCCTAGACAACCCAAGTCAAGTGGGGTGTCTGAAAATGAGGGGACCCTCAAACCAGCCTCAAACTGCCTAAAAGGGACTGATCATGAAAAGGCCAATGATTCATCCCTTGCTTGGGGGTTCCCTCATTTTGAGACACGCTCTAGATCCTTCTTACACAATGCTTCTTAGATGGTCGCGCTTGGAAGATGCTTCAAGAAGGGAACGTGGCACGGAGATCACACCTGTCTTCTCGGTCGTCCTTTGCTAACGAGCCCCAGGATCTGTGCCTAGCGGAAGCGCTTCCCAAAGGCATTTCTCGAGAAAGGAGGAGAAACAAAACGTGCAGAGATGTAGTCTCATGCAGATATTCTTGCTGAATTAGGTGCTGTCTGCTTGTCACTCCCCAGCGAGGCCAAACAAAACAAGCCTCATATATCAAGTGCAGAGCAACTGTCGAGCTTCAAGATGTTTCGCTACTAGGAGCAAGGACGCTATTAGGGGCTCCTGGCCATACTACTAGGAGCAAGGATGCTACTAGGGGCTCCTGGCCTTACTACTAGGAGCATTTAGGAGCAAGGACGCTACTATGGGTTCCTGGCATCGCTACTAATATTAATATTTTCTGATAAATATGATATGTAATTATTCTTGCAAAATATATCTGAATTACTATTCTTATTAATCTATATTATTTTTGTAATATAGTTATTAATATTAATAATATATTTATATATTTGAATGGTTATATTTTTAAAAACAATATTTTATTAATGTTATATATATTATTTATAATTAAATAAACATTTTATATATATTTAAATTAATATGTTTTTTATTTTGTTATAATAAATTTATATGTTTGTTTTAATAATATAGATATTTTTTTAATTTTATTTATTTAAATATTCTATTTATTTAAAAATAATATATATATAATATATTTTTTATTTATATATATTTATTTAAATTATATTAAAAAATTATATATTTATTATTGAATATATAAATAATTAAACTAAAATTAATAAATTTATATATTAATTAAAAATATAATTGAATTTTTATTTGAATTTGTTAGATTTGGGGATTTGGTATTTAAGGAATTTGAATATTTGTTGGATTGTTTTTGGTTATTTGTATTTTCCGTTTGATACCGATGTTAGGGGTTAATTTATAGGATTTTATATATTAAATTTTATTTTAATTTTTTTATTATAACGAAAGGAAACAAAATCTTAGATTTTAAGGGTTTTCTAAGCCGGAAGGGTTTAGGCGAGGGCAATAGGACGATGCGAATTGAATGATTGAATTGTAAGGCCAGGATCCCCTTATAACGTTCTTAGCTCCTAATATTAAGACTAGGAGCCCCTAGTCGCGTAATAATATTTTTAGCTCCTAGTAATAAGTGTCGCAATGCGAACGTGTATTTTTTTTTCTATGCGCTTAAATCATTTAAATGTGTGGATGGGATCCTTATAGGCTTTCCGTGAGAAGCTGGAGCGGGCATTTTTTTTTTTTGTTTGATGCCCATTGGTGGATCTTACGACACAGAATTTTCTAAAAACCACCGCCGGAAGAAAATGGTTGGGCACCAATGAAAAACTAAAAGATTACCTTGGACCCATAGGATTTTAATACGTAAAATCCTGTAGATTAACCTTTGCCGTCGGTATTAAGGGGGATAATTATTGTATATTATTGTTGCTTCGGATTCTGTGTTGTTTTCCCTGATTCTTTGTGATATAGGAATTTGCAGATACGGAGAAGCGTTGATATGCTCAGGCTCAGGTCAAAGCAAGTCCTCATTTTGTGGATGGCATGGGCACCCAATTCCCCAACTCATGGTAGTGTGGGCAACTCCTACTCTTACTACTAGGCCTTAATGGACCTAATGGACCTTACCTAGCGGCGTTTTGAGTTCGACATGACGTCTTTGGGGCGTCAATGATAATTGTCTTATTGGCTTGCGGTTCTTTTGTCACGGGGAATGTTCGCGAACAGGTCTTGCAGAAACCATCTTAGCAAGTGTGCGGGATGTGCTGGGGCACGAGAACAGATATCCCCAACAAATTGCGGTCGTGCAATAGGCCAGTTGGCCCAAAGACGATGGGTAGCGCAGTGGACCGTTTGAATGTTAGATAGTCAGATTTATATTGTGGCACGCCGGCACACCAATGCAAATATATAACATTGGGACCTTGCGGTTGTGGAAATCAGGCGTCAAGACGTGCCTGTTTCTTAATCACAGCCTTTTGAGAGTGGCAACTAAACACCAAGAGACAGACGTACTTAGGAGTTGTACCATGTCGTATGTATTGCCACAGAGGGAAATGCAAAGAACAAATACCGTAAAAGGGACGCCGTATCTACAGGAATTGATCTACAGGAATTTATGTATTAAAATCCTGCGCCCTCCCTGACCATAAATTCTCAGTAAATTCCTGCGCCCAACCCTGTGAATTACCTCGGCACCCCCATTTTACATAATCCAGCATGCCCAATCGGAGCCATTTTGTAAAATCCTGCGCTCTACCTGACATGCTATCCCAAGAGCTTTTTTGAAATGGAATAATTTCTGAATCGGTGGGGTCAACCCCCAGGATTTCAGTATGGGATAACCAAGGGGTTATTTGTCTTGTGTTTATCGTATGACGAATCGATGCGAGGTTTTTTTAGGAAATGATTTCCGTAGGTTGTTAGTAAATTGGATCGTCCGTTGTTATTTCTAAATCGTCCGATATTATAATTATCGAATCGAATGGAGCGAAAGGCCTAATTTATAAAATGGGCCGAGGCTATATTGCACAAAATATCATTGATGATCTCAATATGAATCCAAGCCGCGTTATGTAGAACGTATTTATGCACATGTTGGTATACAAGGTCTGATGAGGTCTATATCTAATGAATGGGGATATGGTGTGGAAGGCCAATGACGAAGCTAAATAATCGATTAGCTAGAAAATAGGTATGAAGCAATTCATAAAGGTATACATTTTAACGAACAGATTATATGTATCAGATGATGTGCTGCTCAAGTCGAAAGGTGGGCGTGGCACAAAATCGATACTGTACACAAAATCAATTCCAATTTAAAGGGTGGTTTGATCGTCCTGAATTACCCGTTGAATCAAAGGCAATAATTTACAAGGAACAAAAGGATGGTTGTGCTCAATGATCTTGACCTGAGACGATTCGACATTTGGCGGTGAGTCGGGATCATCAAAATATTGTTTGATCATCCCATGGCAGAATAAGATTGGACATGCGGCACGACGACAATACATTTGCAATACAAATTCCATCCTGAATCAACTAAAATAAGAATTACATCCTAATTGAGGATTTTATTGCCATCAGAAAACGATGTTTGGCATTGAGAGAGCAACTCTGAGGACAAAATTTTGGTTGTTTTTGGACGAAATGTTGATCACTTTTGGCGTGGAATTAGATTGCGAAAATGTGGCGAGGGAGATCGCTAGGAGCAGGTATCCATCTGCCAGAAGACCTATGAAAGATAAAAGAACGATTTCTGGAAAAGGAATGGATGATGATTTTTGTTGCCATGACAAAGCCACGTTTGGCATTGAGAGAGTAATTCTGAGGACAAAATGTTAATCGTTTTTGACGTGGAATTAAATTGTGGAACGTGCCAAAGGATATAATTGGGAGCAGGTATTTATCTACCAGGCAGAAGATCCGTAGGAGGTGAGAACGGCTCTGGAAGAGGAATGGAAGAGGAAAACGACGTTTGGCGCTAAGAGAACAACTCTAAGGATGAAAATTTGCCTGTTTTTGGCGTGGAATTAATATGGAAAGCATAGCGACGGAAATCGCTAGGAGTAGATGTCTCCCGGCCAGAAGATCTGGAGGAAGTAAAAGAACGACTTCTGGAAGAGAATTAAAAGATAATTTTTATTGCCATCAAAAAGCGACGTTTGGTATTGAGAGAAAGCAATTCTTAGGACGAAATTTTGGTGTGGAGTTAGATTGTAGAAAGCATAACGAAAGAAATCGCTAGGAACAGCTATCTATCGTCCAGAAGATCCGTGAGAGCGACGTTTGGCACTGAGAGAGCAATTCTAAGGACGAAATTTTGGTTATTTTTGACATAGAAAAAGATTATGGAAAATGTGGCAAAAGAAATCTTTAGGAATAGGTATTTATCGGCCAGAAGACCGGTGGGAGGTGAAAGAACGGTTTCTAGAAGAAGAATAGAAAAGAATTTTTATTATTATTAAAAAACAACGTATAATATTAAAGGAGCAATTTTAAAAACGAAATTTTGGTAGTTTTTATGTAAAATTAAATTATTAAAAATGGGGATAAAGAAATCGTTTTTCCAAAAAATCGATAAGAAGCAAAAAATTAATGACAAGAAAAATAATTCTAAAAACGAAATCTTAATCGATTTTTTGTAGAATTAAATTGTAGAAAGCGCGACGAAAAAAATTATTAAGAATAAAAAAAAACTATCGACCAAAAGCTTCGTAAGAAATAAATAATTTCTAGAATTGCCATCAGAAAACGATATTTAACCCTAAAAAATAAATCGTTAATTATATAAATATCGGCGCAAATCGGAGTTAAATTCCAATAACGATTCCTTCATTGTTTTAAGCATAAACATATAAATAAATTTACGAAAAAATAATTCCAAAAATGCATATTCAATCATTTTTAAAATAAAATTAAATATATAAAATATATAATAAAGAAAATAAATAAATATTTTAAGATATTTTTTATAATTATATTAAATATAAAAAATATATTATTATATATCGAAATTATTCTACGAACAATTTTTAAATTCAAAATATATCATTTAAATCCTTTATTTTCCACAATTAATTATATATTCGTTTAATTATTTAATTATTAATAATTCCATTCAATCGACGAAAAAATTATCAATCCTTAAATTATATATTAACATTTATAAAATATATTTAAAACAATTCAATAAATGTAATATTTATATAAAGAATATATTCAATCTTTCAAAATATATTAAACGACACATATTTTGGGAGACCTAATAACGTCCCATTTTCTAAAATTAATTGTTATATTTAACAAACCAATTGCTAATATAAATGCCTCTTTATATAGTTATATAAGTAATGTACATTGAAAAATTGTTATATCTTCTTTGCTATGTAGCAAGGGTTGGGAATCGTTATTGTCCGAACAAAGAGTTCCAGGAGGGAGGGTCAAAACATGTCAAAAGCCTTCAGAGTTGGTACGCTACTGCGCTACTTATGGGTCAATGGCTCCCAAAGGCAACCGAAACGTTAGCCTAGTGGGCCTTGGGGTCGACCAAAACAAAGGATGCGTTTTCTGATCGGATTTGAGAGGGGTTGCGATGTTAGCTGTGCAAGAGTTTGCGGCCGGCCTCATTTGCATCACCTGGGTGCTTGAGAGCTCAGAAAGGAGATTGGATGAAGTGAAACTGATGTTCGAGGCCGTGAAGCTCTAGCTGAAGGCAAGAGCAGGAGGAGCATGGTGAAAGAGGTTGGACAAGAAGGCTGGAAAGGGACTTGGAAAGGGCAGGAGGTGAGAAAGGGGATTGGATTGGATGAACATGATATGGATGTTGGAGGGATTGGGTCACCCTCTCTCTGTCTCTCTGGCGGGCATGACTCGTCCCAGGTCTGTCTCACCCAAACGTCCAACTGCAACTTTCCAAGTATTAAGGTGACGAATCGCAGTGGCAGGGCTGCGTCACATTGGAGTTCCTTTTGTTTTCTGAGAGCTTCTTTGTTTGCTAAGCCTCTTGCCTTACTGCGCAGGAAGATTCAGGAAGGTGCATGTTTGAAAGGCCTGGAGTGGGGTTCACTCATGACTACACCGGCACCTCACTGCGCCAACGCGCATCATGACACATCGCCTCACTGGGTGACCATTGTCATACATGGATAGAAAAAGGAGAAGGGAGGTCTGCCTGACTCTTTTTATATAGCCTCAACCCAGGAATTTGTAGAGTGAATCCTTTTCTTCCCAGGGTGCCACGGTGCGACCTTCTCTGTTCCGTGCGAAGCTGCTTCTCTGTTCCAGGCCACCTTGGCAGAACTGGCTGTCGCACAGTGCGCAAATAACACAAATATATCATGTGTTCAACGTGCTGTTGGCCACCGGATCCGTCTGTCAAGTGCACGTCTGGAGAACACAAGTCCAAAAGATGTCCAAAATAATCGAAAATTGGTGGGAGCACTTTTTGCACCATTGGGGTGTCAATCGAATGGCCTGCATTTCAACCCTAGCAGCAAAGGCATGCAGAACGACATGCTGCAAATGACATCAAATTACGCTTTCGCCTTCACACCTTCAGACTCGGTTTCTACACGGAGCCAACCCGAATCTGGAGCAACCGGGAGCAACACTCACTCCTTACAGGAGCCCATCGTGAAACGAAGCTCGAAATAATAACTCGATTGGGCAGGCATATGCGTGCGTGATTCTGCGTGACAGGTTCGATCATTCACCAACCTGAGACTTCACGAACCCCACGTCGTGAAGTTCGGTCGTTTCGTCCCAGCATGCTCTTGACTCGGCATCTTAGTTCAATGAAACACACCTGGGCCCAAGCAAAAAGAACTTGTCCAAATGTCCAAATGTCCTATGACATCCTATGGCCATACCACTCTCGTCTCCGTCGAGTTGCTCGCGGCGTCGTGCCTGCTCGCAAGCTTTGATCTCACCAGCCTTTGCCGCCCAAAATGCTGGACAAGACCTTGGAAAGTCCAACACCGGTGGACAGTATGGAAGGTATTGGGGGAATGCGGGTGCTCAGTGCATCTTAATGAGCACATTCTTCTCCAAGGTCTTTTCCTTCAAAGTTTCTTGAGATTCTGGTGACCTCTTCTCTGATGTTTCAGGGAACTGCAACCAACTAGAAACGGTCACAACCAAGAATGGACAAAAACTCTGGCTTCAGCCGCCAACGGCAAAAGCTGAATGAATCAATCATTTCGTAACGATTCATAGGCACCTTGCCTTTTGCACTCGAAGTGCTCTGCGGGCCTTTCGGTTTTCTTGAGGCGGCACGGTATCCGAACTTCAACTCCCAGTGGCCCCTGCACCAGCACCATACACGAAGAAGGCAGCCATGGTAGGAGTCCTTGTGGCCAGGCTGCTCAAGGTGGCTGTCTGCAAACTTGTCTTGAACCGAGGCATCCCTTCACGTCCCTTCTTCTTGTCCCAACCGGCAACTAGCATGGCTGATCAGCTTTAATTATATATATATACATGTCACAAAAGGCTTGGAGCTATGACATCTTGTGCCCAAAAAGCATCGCTTTAGATCTGCATCAAAAGCGTCCCTTTGGGGATCCCCTCTTCACATAGACTCATAGACCATCATAGACCCAATATGCCCCATCAACCCACGACCACAGAGCCGGACGAAGTCCGAGTAGTGAACTGATCAATGCCAAAAAGGCCTTGGAGGCGCCTAGGGACCTGGCACTTGCCGATAGCCTCGTGCAGCAGAATGAGTCCAAATGCCCGGCTTCTTGAAAAACAGTGGACGCAGTCGTCTTTTGGGAAAGAGATGCTGAGTCAAAGCATGGCCTATAGTTCTCCACCAATCACTATGCTTCAGGCTCGCAGGAGAAAACAAATGATTTGTTCCGCGGATTCTTCAATTCTTGGATGTCTGGGTCTTTCTGTGTGCTCTGTCGTGTCTGGCTGTCTGTGCCACCACAAATGCCATGCAAGCATCTACTGTTTTAAGCCAAACTGATATTAAGCCAAACATGTGTCTGTAAGCATCGTTTGGCTTTCAAGCCAAAGCAAACATAAGAACTGATATGAATCAAAGCCACGGAATCAGAACCAGAATCAATCAATGAGTTCATGAGTTTTATATTATTCTATCTGGATTTTCACGTTGTTTCGTTCCCCCCTGAGTAAGGCATAAGATACATGGTTGCGAAACCCCTGAGGCACCAGCGTAGAAAGAAGACTGGGCTAGCAAACCTCACTGGCGTGATCCGTACAGCTGCGGCCATGCGATGCCATGCGGCTGTTGTTCGTGTTTCGACCTTCGAAGGCGTCCTCTCTGTGCCCCCCCAAACGAGCCCCTTAGAACGAGTCGGCCAAGGGACGGAACGCCCAAGAGGCCTTGCTGAACCCCCCAGGCACCAATGAGCCCTCCAGCTGCCACATTGTGCAGCAGGGATCTTCGGCCTTGGCTGCGGGGCAGTGAGTGGCCAGTCCAAAAGCGATGTAATGGCTGGTTTCAATGTCGCATGTTCATGTCGGAAGCCTTTGGCCTTTGATCATACAAAACACCCGCGAAGTCAAACAAAACATCACATGACATGACGGCCGGCACTTGAAACAATCATCCTATGTTGTAGAGAAGCAGGTCTAAACACTGTTATTCCAATGCCCCTCCGCAAACGGCGTAATAATCTGCTTCAGGACTCCATCTGGAACACAATGCTGCTCAAATGAATGACAAATAAAATAGATCCATGGTCAAAGAACGTGTGTTGCCCGTCTAAAGTCAGAAAATACATTACGTCACCGTCGCTTCAAAAACAATCAAACACATTCAAATCAATGTCTATGTAACAGCATGCGCTTAGCATTCGCCTGCAGAAGTGTCATTGAATATCTGCTTGGAGTGGCACCTATTTAGAGGGTCACAGTCACAGCTACTCAGATACTTGTTACCAGTGCAACACCAACTGAAGCCTCAAATCTCTCCAGCCCCGTCCACCTCGCCCCTTTTGCTCCTCACACGTGAGTAAACCGGACATCACGCACGCACACGGCGGAGCCACTCTGGTTCTGGACCTTGCTTGGCCAGTCTGTGACGATATGCGCCGTGTACACAGGCAACACATACAAACCGCCGGTTACTGCTGTTGTTTCAGGGGTTGCCGGAGATGTACTTGTTGATCTGATCTTTGGGACATTCAAGGGCCCTCCTCCAAAGCGCTTCTTGATACGGTTCTGCTCCATCACTAACTTCCGTCAGCATCAAATGATGCAATAGACCCCCAAATAAGCAAGTAATCCGAGGCAAATGCTGTGACAGTGGGTCCAAGGTACTAGTGGACCCTGTCGAGCATCCTAACGAGCGTTCCAACATTCAAAACGACTTGGGCTGAGACAAACAAGATAGTCAACCGACGGTACAAACCAATAGATTAAAATATCCTCACCACTTCGGTGCTTCGAACAGCATGGCCCAGCGGCTGTCCAGCCAGCAGCGCAAGCATCGGGGTCGCATTGTCCAGGCCCAGTCTTCACGCAAATCTCGCATTGATCGGCGCATGAAAAACACCTCCAAAAAGCAAAGCTGCGCTTTTCTATGGTATTGAGGGGAGCTTTGTTACAAACTCAACACAAACAGGTTTTCCAAGTGTTCGTACTTCTTGGGAAATTGATCTTTTTGCGTTTTGGAGAGTCGACTCCACGTCTAGGCCAAGGGGATTTGCTCAGTTTTGCAACTCCGTCGGCTAAGCCAACTAAGCCAAAAAAACTTCAACTAAGTTCACTCTAAATATCTCTAAATCCATCGTATATAAAATCCCTCATCTGAAATGACTACATTAATGCCTGCAGCTAAGGTCCAAACACGTGATGATCATTTCCTTTAAGCTCCAAGTTCACTGGGGCCCAGACCTGCCGCCCTGTAGGCCAAAGCCCTGGTGACACTCCGCGCACCCAGCGCCCTCACGGTCGCCCGAAGCACCACAGCGGCGGCAGTTGGCAGCACAGGCCTCGCAGCTCTTGTCACTGGTGAGGCCGAATCCCTCGCGGCAAACGTCACAGCCGTAGGGGGAGTCACCTGGGCTCGTGGAGGCGCTGGCACCGCGTGATTGCGACTCTGAATCATAAGTGGTCCTGGTACATGGATGGGGTTCTTTCTTCTCGGATGCGTGGTGCTAATGGTGCTGTTAAGCTTCTTTTCTTATGGATGTGATTTTGGGTGAAGAGTGCGGAGAAGTACATCGTTGTACATCGCTCGTCCTGGAGCTGCTGGAAAAGGGGCGACAGACCCTCATTCGTACGACGGAAACTGTTCTCTGCGACACGTTTAGAAGTTTGTCAGTCACCGCCCCATCTCCTGGCATGTCCGAGAAGCATCAAATACCATGTAAGCGGTCAAAAAGGATATCACACAAGCAAACGCCGACAGGAACGATCAAAGGACATCAACCACAGGGATTTCCAAAAGATTGCCGTGTGCAAACAAGAGACAAACCAGGCAGCCTTCGACCTTGCATTTGCTGCATTCTGCACCACCTCATCTCAAGGCTGACCGCTTTGGATCGCACCATGGGTTGGTGAAGTTGGCTCGACATGAGGGTCTCAACATGTCTCAACACTTCACATTTATTTTCACAGGACCTCTCATCATATTTCTCCATGCACACGATCAAAGGCAATTGCTGTTGTTTTTTCTAGAAGCCATGGGTCATCTTCCCGTGCTGCAAGCGCGGGGGGGCTATCACAAGTGGGCAAGACACCTTTCAGCTGAAATTCTCAAAAGGCTACTACATCATCATCAGCGGACTAGCGCTAGAATCTAGAGGCGGTACATCACCTCGATATGAGTCGAGAATTTGCAGCCTACCACCATCGGCCAGAACAATGGGACAACTGTACCAATGAAAGTGTTGGCATGTGTGATTCTTATCAGGGCCCACTAAGACATTTCGCCACTTTGTGCACAGGAACCTCACACAAGAGACTTGGTTTGGTTCCACCCGAGCATGAGCCTTCGACATCCCTGGCCTTGCAGGCCATAGCCCGACCGACAGCTACCCAGATCGCAACGTCCAGGGCCCGCCCGGGTACAGTTCTGGCAGTGCATGGAACATGGCGCGCAGCTTCCTGTCGCCGTCCTTAGCGTCCAGGGCGCTGGAAGTGCCATATAGTGCTTCTTGGATTGACATGATCATACATTATCCAGGTCTAGAATCTTGGATGATCTTGGATGCACAAGCACTTGGCCGACGTCCCCTGAAGGGCTCCCGAATCATCTTCGACATGTCCGGACGTTTTATGTGAGTATCTTGATAACATATTTGATCCAACATGCTCCAAGCTGCCATAGGGCCTATACTTTGTGGGGGGCTCAGCACGAAAGGGGCTTCCCGCTCTCACCCAGTGCCGGGACTCAGACTGAAGCCTTGATGGCACATCTCGGGATCGCATCGGCCCTCACCCAATGCTTCACATCTGGAGCAATGATCTGCGCAGGGTAAGCATTCCTCACAGGAAGATCTCCGCGAGAACCAGGACATGATCTGGAATGCATGCAGGACAATGTAGAATGTTCAGAACAAATCTTTGAGGTGGTGTCGGTGTCAGAAGTTATAAAGAGTCTTGGCAACACTGCAACACTGCGCTGCAGGTCGACGGGTCAACTACAAGCTCCTTGTTGCCAGTCAAAATCACAGGGCATCCAAAATCACTTAAGGTATTTCTGTTTGATCAATCTGGGGCTTTGTGGCATTCAAGCCCCCACAATCCTGGACGCTCTCATTGTGGATGGCAGAGGTCTTCAGAGTCGCCCCTTCCATGCATTCCTGACACGCTTGACCCGGGCAGTCGTTGCATCCTGTCAGGGCATGCATCATGCAGGCTCTTGCAGCTTTGACTTGACAGCTAGATCTATATACATCTGATCTTCAAGCAAGAGACCATTGAAAGGCAAAAAAGCAAGAACAAGCCTTCACCGTATCATAACCACCACCCCTCCAGCCAACAGCACTATCCACGGCGTGGCACTATCCATGGCACCAAAACCCTTTGCCCAAACGACTCCTGCCTACGACCTGGCACGGTAAGCAGTTCCCCTTGGACAAACCAAAGGTGGCCGGACAGCTCCGGCACGGCAGCGGCGCGGACCCCGTCGTCGTCTCGGCCGCGGACCTGGTGGCGAGGCCAGAAAAGCTGGATGGGGCCTTGGTGATCTGGAAGAAACACCTACGCTTTTGGTTCCCCCAAGTTCCCGTATGTTCCCGTATCATCCCATGAAAGATGTTTTTTTTCGATTTGGGAGACTGTGGTCCACTGGTGGTTCTGCTTTTTCAGACTTGAAAAAAAAGTTTCAAGTATGACCTTGGAGTTGATACCTGGCCATTGAGACTTAGTTTGTGTCACATGGCTTCGCCGCAGGAATTTGTGACAAAGCGCAAGCAAAAAGAAACATCAACGACACAAAAGTAGGCTGTGCTGTGCTTAGTGTCTGTCTGGGATCTTCATCACAAAGACACAAAGGGCTCACACACGGTAAGCACCGGCCAGCAGAGATCCCAAAGCCAGGCAAACATCCAGCAGCATCACATCGGCCAGCACCCGCATGACTGCAGTGAGCACAGCCGTCGGAGCACGGGAGGCAAACTCGATTCGGTGCCACGTCCCCAACGGAGTTGGGATGTGGAGGCTCTTCTGCAACAAAGCCCGGTTCGCAGTCTAAACCTCAAGCGTTCTGGGTGAGGTGAGCCGGGGTGAATATGGTGGGTCTGGAGAGGGGAAAACATGCCGGGAACTTTGTAGAAACAGAAGCTTCCTGATCTCCATTGGCTACAAACCATCTAAAAGTCTTTCAAACTTGTTGCATGATTTCGTGCATCAATGCAATTCAGGGAGCCTACAAACAAACAGCCCGTGAACTGAATTCCTAAAAGCAAAGATGTGCTTCTGATTTCGCATTGCCATGCTTTGAGGCTCTAAGTTCCTCCAAATGGATTGCCCGTCGGTAGTGCCAGAAATTTGTTAAGGTTTGGAACCAAAAGGTGGATGCTCTGCCTGCACACTCCCAAGTCCCAAAGCCCATCACTGGAGCCTTCCAAAAGCCAAACGGCAAGAGCCATGAGAGTCGCATCGCAAACAATGTGGGGAGCAAACCTGGCGCCGTCTCCCGTCGAGTCAGTTCACAGGGTCAACAAAATGTACCGGCACAAAACATGTTTATGATCCGTGAGACCCTGACGCTAGGCCAGGAGAAGGCTATCGCCATTGTCAGTTCTGCAGACTCAATAACAATGTGGCACCTGCGGCAGGCAATCAGTAGTGGCAGTTCTTTCAGGGATCCCTTTTTTTGCAAATCAATTATCATCTTCCATCGTGGAGTCCACCATGTGGGAGTGGATAAGGGCAGCAATGACCATAATATATTACAATTGCTATTACAATTTATATGATTACAATATATTTGATTATAATATATATATATATTTATGCGTGTGTTTTTCCTCAATTGTTTTCATCCTGGCTCAACTGGCACTGACTTAGGCACAAATGTCCCAGCTCCCCATCGATGAAGCGCAAACACCTCTAGCCCACAACAAGCCTCCAAAGACCCGCAAAAACGAGCATCTCTCCAACCTCTCCGATACCACATTGATCGCGCAAAGGCACTATCAAATTGACCTCGAAACTGACCTTAAAAGAGAAAGGAGCCTCGCTTGGCCCGGTGGCACATATCAACTCATCACTTGTAACTTCTCGTGATCTACTGTTCGACGTCTTGCACCCCCGCTTCTCCCGCCCGTTTTGTCCGCCTTCCGTAGGATCACCGGCGACTGCACCACGGCAGGGCTCAAGGCGCCGGTGCTTGGGTTCACGGCGGCCACGAAGATCCGCGCGCGGTGCGTCCAGGGGAAGTCCGGGATCGTCCACTCGGCCAGGTGGGGAAAACCTCGTGGGGAGCGGGGCTGCCGAAGCCGGGAGGATGGGAGGTCGGCTTAAAATCTTCGTCACCTCTCCAAGAAATACGCCAATCTTACTCAATCGAAATCCTTTCCTCAAGATTGTCAGTGATGTTTGCTTTACCTCCAAGATCCATCTTCAGCCCCAAAGAATCAGTTCACAAAAGGAGTTGTCCTCTCAAAGAAGAACTTCTCGTCAAACATCCGGTAGCTGTCTGTCAGTGCAGCTGAGGTCTTCCCAACCTCCAGCCATGGCACTGCTCTGGTACAACGCCAAACCCCCAGCAGTGCTCTTCCGCATGGCCAAGTAAACACTCACATCGAAGCCATGGCGGGTGAGCCACCAGCGCATCTGCAGTGGCGTGGCAGTCACCTGTCCATAGCGTAGCCCGCGGTTCCCATCGCCACCTGGTGGGAAGTGTGTAAAGCCACCAAGTCTTGTGCACAGAAGATGTTGCTACTGTACAATAAAGATATATAGTAAAAACACAGTTGATGCAAAAGTGCTGATTTTTGATCATTGAATTGAATTCAACTGAATTGGCACATGAACCGACCTGCATGCCTAAATCGGCATAGAACCGAAATCATAGAACCACAAAGAGGCCTTAAAAGCTTGCCGACGCCAACAGCTCTGTTTCTCGCGTCCTGCATCGCACCTCGTCCCTCCATGACCTGTAAGCTTGAGGGGCTGGGACGGCCATCAGGCACCACCACGTAGTAGACCAGGGCCCGACCAGCCTGGCTGCTGGAGACGCAGGGCACCTTGGTGGCCGAGGAGTCCTTTGGGCTGCGAGCAAAATAGAACAACTGTCAGGAGCCCCTAGTAGCGTCCTTGCATCTAGTTGAGGCGTTGAAGGCTCAGAAAATTATCAACTGCATTCCCGTGCGTCTGTTGAGGTTTATCAATGCTCCTGTAGTTTGATGTAGATGATGTAGCTAGCAAAGCTCCACATCCAATTGGTCTAGAGTAGGTCAGCAATCTACATCTCTCAAATCGTTCAGTTTCTTCAAATCTGTGTGACAAGCAAGCCAAGACTCTTGTGACTTTGGTATGCCCAGGCACGCTCACCGCCACCCCGTTCTCTGCTTGGTCAGTGACCTGTGGACTGCAGCAGCCCTCCGGTAGACCGAAGGTGCTGCTCAGCATCAGCACTGGATCCGCGTTGGACACCGCGCCGTAGTGGAGCACGGTCAGTGGGCAAATGTTGAAGCAAAGCCTCCAGCAGGTGCCGGCGGTGCGAATACAACGGTTTAAGGGATGGGATTTTACTAGACACAACTTGGGAGGTCCCAAATGATAAATGCCATCAAAGCCCTGCTTGGGTTTGAGCAAATCCGTACTCGATGTTGCTGTGTACGATTGTCAGGATCAGGTTCCATAGGTCAAGGGTCACTTTTGTTGATGGTAATCGTTTTAATCCTCAGATTCATCCCTTCCCAACCAAGGTGGTCGCAAATGAAGCAGCCCATGACATGCAGTGAACAAGCAAGCGGTGATGGAGGAATGCCCTTCCAGATGTCCAACCGTCTAGAGAAACCGTCCTGTCAACCAGTGATCGGTCGTAAAGCTGTGGCCTCGCAACATGTGACTCAAAACCCAATCCCAAACCTTCCAAATTGCGTGAGAAACTCCCAAACCATCGAACAAGCAGCGACAAAGCCACGCACAGCACCGCCACAGTGACTGGAGCCCAATAGATTAGGAGCCAGGTTCGGGACCGCATTTCCGGTGACAGCCGCCGTGACTGGCACTGGAGCTTCACTTCCCAGTCAAAGGCATGTTCACCTTATGGATGGAAAACACGACCCGTTCTTGGAGCGGATTGGAGAAACATGTAGAATCTAAACAGTTGATAGACAGTTGATAATTTTCATATATGTTCATAATCATACTCATGATTCTTGTATTGCACCGCCGCTCACCCACAAGCTGATCGTCACCAAGTGACAGTCGAAAATGAAGAGGATGAAGCTGCAAAGGTAGTTGTCGAAGTCTAGAGTCGTAAACACCACCTGGGCAATCTTGCTTCTGAACAAGTAACAAGTGCCACGCTAGTAGTAACAGGTGCCTTACTAGTAGTAACAAGAAGCTAGCTAGTAGAAACAAGTGCACCTGTTACTACTCATTCATGTTAGCACAAACTCCGCATCCGGCTTGGCGAGAGAAGTGGCCTTTCAGCCACATTTCTCCCGAACTTGAACTAGGCTGACGGTACAACAAAGCAGGGTGGCTCACCCATCTCACCTCTCCGCCTACACAAATCCATGCAGTTTCAGAATTCTCGAGTGTTCTGGAGCGAAAATACACGGAGCAGGGATGATACCTGTAGTAAGGAGATACCCAAAAAACATGATAGTTATAAATATACTTATGAGTGCTTGGGATGGGATAAACGGGACGAACCATATCATAACGCATCCTAACACCATGTGTTGGCAACCACGATCTTGAAACACTGCCAGAGTGCCCAAAGCTTGCCAATGGTCGCGATGGGAGTGGTGCTGGTGAGGATGAGCTGGATCGCCATTAACACCACCACCACTGCCACCTGGTGCCATCTTGCTGTTGCAGCCCCTTCGTTGGGGTTGATCAAGGAGTGCCGTGCCCAAAAGGATGCTGTCAAACCACTTGGATTGAATTAGCGCTAATACTACTAATATATCGTCTTTGTTTGTATTGTATACTGTATAACAAACATAGATATAATAAGTATTTATATATCTATATACTTGTTATGATTGCAAAACCCAGTTGGGATGAAGAAGCTCGTAGTATACATAGTCTTTGGCAACATGTGAACTCGCTTCCTACATTCAATCACAAGCCTCTGCCACCAAGCACCATCATAGTGATTGACTTGAGGTTGAGCAACTATCACCATTGGATATATTTAGTGATTGCGAGCACCTAGACAGAATTGTCCACTTAGTGTAAGTTGAACAGCATTGGGAAAGATTACAATTGATCAGGAATCAGTTCAGTTTTATCTATGCATCTTTTCTTGCCTTCCCACCCATCCTCCCCCCCACACACACCAAACATCACCAAATATCTGACACAATGATACACAATGGCCAAAACCATCGGTATTAGATGTTGTATATATCCCTAGCGTCGTGCCGTAAAGCCGCAATGTATTGTAAAAGGAAGGCCCCGGTGCCCAAAATGCGCTGCTGCAGCGTCATGTGGACCGCTGGGCGGTGGGCTAAGACTCTGTAGAGCTTGGCCGCATCTTTGAACTCCCCACTGACTCGGAAGAAGGTCCTTGGAGATGACTGGTGGTGAAACGGTGACAGGTGCGACCATGTGCGACCCATTCTGTGGAACCTGGTGGTTGGAAAAGGAGCTGTCGCAAATACTGTTGGATGTGCTCGTGCCCGTTGATTTGCCCCCGCTTGCAGTAAATAGGACAGCTTCAGATTTCACAGCCCTTCCAGTGTTGCATAAGGAGTTGTCGCAACTCATGTCTCATGTAGGCAACCGCCAAAAGGACCACAAGCATTCACGAGGGCCTTGACATGCTCGCTTGGCAAATAAGAATTTGTGCAGCAATACATCACCTAATCCTTAATTCCTTTGACATTGGGGAGGCATAGTGGTTTCCAAGTTGAACGAAAGCATTCTTCCCATTTCTACCCTCTCTCCCTCGTTTCCAGCCCAGGGGCAGCAACATCGAGAGACACTTCATGGCATTCACCGTCCAGTAGTCGCTGATGGGGACCACCCACTGGCCACTCTCGAAGAAATACCTTACCACTTCGAGCTTCCAACTTCATCCAGAAGGTGTTGATTTTTGTTCAAGCCAGCTGGTGTTCTTTCTCAGTATGAGGGCAGGGCCTGGCCATCCTATGCCTCCCTACGCTCCAACTTGCTGCGTCATTTCCAAAGGTGTGCTTAAGTTGCCCGGCCTGTTCTGTATCAGCCGGCTCCTTGCGCAACAATTGCCAACAAAAGATGTTTGATGGCTATACAAAAGTTCAAAACACGTTCCGTTTTATGTGAACTTTATCAATTCGGTAGGCGTTTGGCACAGTGTTCATCCATCCCCAAGTTCACAACCGAACTGCAGAACTTCAGGTTTGTTCTGATGGGCTGGATGGAGAGTGGTTCAAGGACGTCGCCACTAGGAGCAAGAAGCTACTAATAACAAGAAGCTACTAGGGGCTCCTGGCCTTACTACTAGGAGCAAGGACGCTACTAGTGGCTCTGATTTGCCCTTTTCTCTCGGGCAGGATTCTCCGGAGAGCTCCAGCCAACGATCCAAAGCATCCCGAACTGCCCGACAGCCACAGCCAGCATGGGCGCCAGCACGCTGGTTTTCCTTGGCAAAATGGTTTCGGTTGGTGATTGGATGCTTTAAAGGTCCCCGCACCACACACACACAAACAACACATATATTAATATAACGTATATCAGCCAATATCAGCCAGCTCTGGTTTGTTGGCATTCCTACGTGCCACAAGCAGAAAGGAAAGCTTCACATACTTATATTCGCTCTTGGACATGTGTAGGTCAAGTTGTGAAATTCACGAGGGCACCTTTACATCAGGGATGAGGCGCAACCGCCAATAGCACACACTACAAATCTTTGATTGCGTATACTTTTACATACTTTTACTGTATGCATACATGAACCGCCAAGGCTAAATCGAAACATGAATTCGCGTCATCGACTTACCCAATGGCATTGCCATTGATCTACACTTGAGCATAGAACACCGATGGATCACCTCAGACCTCACGTGAGGCAAAGATTCGGCTATAAGGACCAGGAACTATATATAATTAAATCAGTTTTTCTGAGAGAAGTGTCCCACTCACGAAGATGAGATTGTAGCAAGTATGGCTCAAATCAATGACCTCCATCTCCGGCTGCCCCACCAACGGAGACCTCACCGATGAACTCAATCCATTCCCATCGCGCGCCCAATCTGAGGGCAAGCTTGGAGAATGACCTTGGGCACGGCACGGCTAACCGTAGGGCTTCCGAGTCAAGACCGAGTTGGAGATGCATCGAGAATTGCCTCTAGCTTGGGGTTGCGGCAGAGCGTTCCATGTTACAAACAAATGGGATCGCACTCGTTGTGGCGAAAGCCCAAGACCCCGTGATTTGTAGGCATATCATGGCATACAAGTATCCATTCAATCCCGGCCCGTCCAGATCTCTTGACATCTCTTGAAGCCTTTTGGTCCGGTTCGTGTCCAGTGGCCATTGGTTTGCTTCACCAGGCTCAGCTCCAAATCCTCCCAGGCCTGCGCCATCTCAACGTAGTTCACCGTCGGTGAGCGACTGGATGTCGTCTTCGCCTCACGCCCTAAGGCCCATTGCAGCGGCGGAAGCGCAACGGGCACTTTGTTGATGCGTTGTTGAGCTGGCTTGAGGCCATTGGAAGCCAAGAACTTATCCCTTCTTTGCAAGAAACAGTTGAAAGCTGTTGAAAGAAAGCTTGACTGGTGTTGCATGGTCTCTGGGTGGTGTCTTGATTGGCCAATGACAGCCCATGAAGACGCGGTGCCGATGACAGTTCTCTTTCAAAGAGATGGGCATAGGACTTGCAGGTTTCTTAGGCTGGAAGGATTTTTCTTAAGTCCGATTGAAACGTTGCAGGTCTGGTCATTTTGAACTGAAGGCTGTTCTTGGATAGTTCAGCACATTTGGCTGAGGTGTTTCAGCTTGACATCAGAGCTGACGCAAGCAAGTGTGTTTGTGAACTTGAGCTTCGTGCCATTCATGCCAGCCACGCATGCGCAGGTGATGGGCGTCTGCATGGATACAATTGCTTGGACCAAACCCCCCTCTCGCAAATGTTAATCTTCCCCGAACATCTTTAAGTGGGCCAGCATGGCCAGCATCCAGCATCCAGCTTAATTGTCGCTCTCGGTTAAACCAACGTGCGTAGGCAACTTCGATCAAGGCCTCTGGATCACTAGATTGTTGGCAGCTTGGGGTTATGCATCTCATCTACTTCGAGGACCGATAAGTTCTCGAGTAGAATTCTCACCAATGGAAGACTTCGGTGGAACCCCCTCCACTACCACGTAGATGCCAACAGTAAGGGTGGTTCACGATCTAACCTGTAACCCGCCCAATGGAGCCCTGATCCACTTTCTGCATCAGGGCAGCCATGGAGGGCCTCCATGGGACACTGCAGGGCATGATAGGCATAAAGAAGTCCACAGTTCAAGGCCTGGCTATGCCAGATGATCATAAGGATCCATGGGCATGTCCCAGCAAGCATCTGCCACCACATTGCATGATGAAAATTGGTCTGCGTCTCACTGGGTAACGCTTATACTCACAATACGTCAGGGGCATATTAGAGAGACCATTGTTGGGATGCTAGCAAAGTAAGCGCGACTACGCCACGTCCGTGAATCGACCAGCCAGCCGCAAGAGTTTTCTTTAGAAACGCGGCCAGGCCATGATAGGCCATTCCAAACATCTCTTGCTCATCTCTGCGCTCGAATCTCGCCCAGGGGTTGAGGCCCAGACCACCAGCGCTGGCGAAAAGGGAGCGCCTTGAAGGACATTGATGACCTGGCACGTCAGCGTGTGCTGGTGCAGTGGAGGAGCACACGGTCTGGCGATTTGGAGATGGGAGAGGTTTTTCGATGGTCTTGGCAGGGGCCCACTTCGGAGTAAACTGGCCAAGTTGGGACCGTGACACTTAGCAAATATTTGAAATATATGGATGATGTAGGAGGGTCACACAAATGATACAAGGTTCAGAGTCCATCATAAGAGTGGGTCAGTCACAGTCGTCGGTGTTTGTACACTTCAGCCGCTTAGAGCCTCAGGTTTTGCCGCGCCTCGGATTGATAACATCGAACTGCCATTGAACCGATTCTCTATCGGCGTTGGGGTCAAGAAACATGTTGCCAGCAAACCGGAGAACTCAAAAATACATTTCTCGGAGAACACTTTTCCGCTGTACAGGAGGCCTTCGAACACAACCCTTTTCCGGGCAAAGCCAGCAAATCATCTCCACTCCAGTGGAAGGGTCAAAGCCCCACAATCCCTGTCACGCCCAAGCTTGGAGAGCTGTAAGCAAATCTCCAACTCTCCAACCCCAAACAACTGAAATGCCAATCAGTGTCTAAAGTTTCTAAACTGTGTGGTTTCGGACCTTCCATTCCCCTCACTGGGGGCTCAAAGGGCGTACAGCCTCCATCATTGCCACCTGTCTACCTGAGCCATGTAGGACCCATCATCTTTACAGCAGGCCCCGCTCACGTTCCCAAGTCGGACGCAACACATTGCAAAAACAAAGCATCATCGCCAGGTGGCAGAAAATCCACAGCCCCAAACAATGGATGGCTGGACCTAAGTGATGCACATGATATCACGTGATCTGCTGGTCGGGCCAGCCCAAGAGTTTGCTTGAAGCCCCAGCACCATTGGCCTGCTTGGACTCTGTGACCTCCAAAATTCAATCTACAGTAGAAAAAGTATGGAAAGGAGATTAATGAAAGAAGACAAGGAGATGAAAGGAAATCAATCGCAAAAAGGATCAATGTTTTTAACATCCTTTGTTCATGGTCAATCGCAACTTCCGCTGTCACCCAGCCCTAGGCCAGCTCTGAGGCGGCTGGCAGGTGCAGTGAGGCACTGCTTCTGGTAAGCGGGGCTAGCCAACATTGCGCCGCGACACAACGGAGACGTGGAAGTGTGATTGAAATTTGAGAAGATGACTTCATATGACATCTGCGACTGGACGGGGGGCTTCTCTTTGTGGAGACGTGCTGCTGCTCATGCCAAAGAACTTGTTCCAAAACAACAAGCTGGCTAAATGTTAAAAGCTGCCGAAGATCAGTACGCCTCAAGCGGAGTAAACATATATAGTTCAGTGGATGCTTAAAGCCACAGGACCTTTCAGGTACAAAACGAAAATGCAGCTCTACAAGATTGAGGGAAGCCATGCCTGTGTTGACTACGGCTATATATAATATTATGGGTATGCCACCAATCAAGCAGGTTTGGAAGCATTTCGCTTCTGTACGCTGAGGGTGGTGTGGGGCAGCGCAGCCACACAAAATAGCAGCGGCACAACATTCCCAAGCCATCGAGCGAGACGAGAGATGTCCATTCTTGGTTCTGGAAAAGTCCGAATCTGAACCCTTCGTCTATACACATTGCGATGCATAGCCTTTGGAAGCATAGGAAGCATAAGCTTGCATGAGGTCCTTAGGATTCCCCTTCCTCCGCTTGCGAATGAAGAAGCCCACGGTTCACCTAGACGGCCCGAGCGACGCGCGAAACTCCGGCTTTTTTCATAGCTGTGATAGGTCCAGTCGGGCTAAAGCAAGGACCATGGAACGTCTTCAGGCTCTCGATATCACTTTTCTTGATTCTTGGAACCTCCATTGGTGATCATACGTGAAATTGCGTCTCTACATTTAGAAGGTGGCTGCCATAAGAAAACTTTAAATATGAGGCAAAGGCTCCAAAATCCAGCACATCTGCCTATATTTGTCTGCTGTGGATGTCCGCGGATGGTCCTTGACTTGAGGTCTTTGGCTGAGTCTCCTCTCTACCAGCAACGAGCAGCGCTCACCACGGGCAATCCTCGGAACTGCAATCCAACCCCATTAGTAGTAACAAGAAGCTACTAGGGGCTGGCATCGCTACTAGGAACAAAGGACGCTACTACAGTAATCCAAACCTTTGTGATGTTTGGGTCTTAGGGGATTGGCAAATGAGGGCTTCACCCTGCATACCAGTGGACTGAACACATTTTTGTTTCCCTTGTTTGGTACTCAGCAACACGTGCGCAATATGCTTAAGTTCTGTTAGCAGAGTTGAGCACACAAAATATGTTCAACTTCATGCCAATATAAAGAGAGCGCACGTCTGCATGGCCTCCTGCACCATAGAGTCCACACAAAAACCTACCAGTCCACCTAAATTTCACCAGGTTGCGCTCAAAGAGTGCCCTTCTCCATTAGGAAGCGGCCAAGCCGTTTGGACTCAAACCTGTCCCATTCTCATAGTCCAACTGTGAAATTAAGATTGTTTTTTGAGTTCCTGAGTTTTCTAAGAATGCAGTCAAAACGCTCGTTCAACAGGATCATCGATGCAGCAAGTGCCTAACATCGCATTCCACTCACTACTAACCCCAGTTTTGCAGAACTCTTGAGCACACACCTAGCCGACTTGGAGAGAGTTTAGCTCCAAATCGTGGCGACAAAAAACACCTGTCTTTTTCCAAATTCTTCTGCCGCTGGCATCCGCTGGCTATTTGTCACGGACGTCATCTTTCCAACTAAGCACCAGCCGTACTTTCATCTGAGCCCCCATCCACCCCAGAATGACCAAGCCACCTGGCTTGATCCGTGTCCAACCTGTCCTATCTGGTCCAAGTCGCATCACAAGGATTGCTTCAGATCGGAGGCTGGACAGAGGCAACCTCAGGAGACCAACTGCCCCACCAACATAACATGGACTGCGAAAATGGACCCTTGTAAGGCTCTTTTCATCTACCACAGTGGTGTTCGGGGTCCAATCTGCAAAAGAACTGTAGCTCAACACCCTAAATTGGTGTGCTCTGCCTTCGTGCAGCTATTCCACATGTCTCCCAGTGACTACAGTACTTGTCTCTTCGACCGACGAGCATTGTCTTCCAAATCCGCCCCACCATCATGCCTCTCTGGCCAAAGCTGTCTCAAGCTGCTGCCATGCACCCTGCTTTAACGCCCTGGGACCCACACACGACCTTCGGTTTTGGCTTAATGATGCCAATGCAAGCCTCTAGCTTACCCATCACCTGACCTACTAGTAGCATGACAGGCGGAATGCAAAACACCAGCAACATGAGCTACCTTCACCCACTTCTCAAAACCCTGACCTACTTCCACCCCAAAACGACCAACTCCACCCAGCCAACTTTCACTTCGCCCTCGGTGCCCGGACGAACTCGGCAAAGTCGGGATGCGACGACAAATCCGGCACCTCCCCCACCTCCGCGGCCTGCGAGGCGCGAAGATGACGGAGGCGAAACATCGGTGTCTTTGCTGTTCCAAGGAGAGTTTCGAAGGGCTGACATATGTTGCAATCTTTTGCCTTATATACAGAGATGAAGAGATGGCAAGGTGCAAGGCTTGAAGAGCACTATATATATATATACTTTGTTTTTGTTGAATGGGTGAGTCTTTAGCTGCAGAAGGTGTGCAGCAAAATATGTGATCAAGGGGGTGTTCAACTTGCATGGTCCAGACATTCCTTTCGGCCAATCAAAGGACTGAATGATGCACAAAATGCTAGTCGTAAACGATGACTTAATCTGCATCAAGGTGGGTGAACATCACATCCACATGTATTCTGTGTAAATCAATATGGGAACGTCGAACATAAAACCTTTTGATTGCATATTGTTCTGCATCACTGCTGGTGAGATTCCCTTGGCTGCTTATTGTGCTTGCTTGCCCTGTCTTGCTGGACGTTGTCCCTTTTGGGGGGAAGGGTTATTTTGCTCACAATGTTCCTGCTCGTTGACAGCTTTGAATACCTTTGACACCCCTGGGCCTCCAGAGGTTGTGCCAACTTTCTGGTCAATCACTGACAAAACATATGTAGAATAGCTCCAAAGGTTCCCTCACCCAAAAAACTCCAGCTGGCTTTTGCGCGAACTTTCATGATGAAAGCCACCCCCCGCACAACTGGTTTCAGCCAGCAGCCTGGGTCAACCTGATCCCAAGAAGTATCTTCTAGAACAAGCCCTTGTGTGGTGGTTTGGATGTTTAAGTTTCTTCCATTGAGAATCAACCTGGACACCGCGGCCTTGAGGGCAATCATGGCCGCTACTGCCTTGGCACCCGAAACGCACACAGTGACCTGGTCGCTCCGATCGCATAGCTACACACAGTGACCGTGGTGAATCAATCCCTCAAAGAGGTGCGATGCGGCACACCATCTTGAATTGGAGGCTTTTGATCCTTTTAAGTCTGAGACGTTGAAGGCCCAAGCCCTGTCATCAAACGATTGTCCTATGGTGTTGGGGTGTTCTTGAATGTTCTTGACCCCGCCCCAACTTCAATAGAACAAATCCGTTGGTCAACTTAAGGGTTTCACTAGTGGACCCATTGCTTGCTTGTTTCCAGCCTGGATAAGGACAGTTGCGGGCGAGGAGATGTGAGGAGGGTTCATCGTTGGCCTCTCGGCCACTGCCAGCTTGATTTTTCCTCACGCACCAACAATCTGCCGAAATATGCTTCCCACAGGAGTCGTGCCACTGTAAGTTCGCATCGGCAAAAGGCCGTCAGGGGAGTTGGACTGGGGATGGCTTGGGCGAGGCAGCTCATGCTTGCAATCAACGCGAAAAGGTCATCAAGATCTGTGGAAAGCACACCGACGGTGACTATGGGGATCCCACAGCACCAGAACCACAGGAAATCTTTGGGGTTCTGAATCATCTCCACCGCAAAAATGTTCCTGATAATGGCACGCCAGTCCCAACCATGACAAGTGCTGGACAACAGCAGATTGCTAATCTCTTCGTGGCCCCTTTCAATCGCATGCATCCAAGCTTTGCGGCTGTATCGTCGAAACTTGTCGGCTCCGGCATTCAACAGCAACTGTACGATGTTGTAATGGCCAGCGCTGGAGGCGTGGTGGAGAATGGTTCCTTGACTGTACACAAACTCCTTGTCAGCCCCGGCGCGCAGTAGCAAGCACGCAACCTCCTCATGGCCAAGAATGCAAGCATGCAGGAGAGCTGTGAAACCATCTGTGTCTGCTATGTCCGCACCAGCACTGGCCTCCAACAACAAACGAACAACTTCTACATGGCCTGCATGTGATGCGGCTATTAGAGCTGTACTGCCATCCTCGTCAGCTATGTTCACGCTGGCGCTTGCCTCCAACAGCAAATGCACACTCTCCAAACTGCCGAGATCAGATGCCAAAATAAGAGCTGTTTCGCCATCTGTGTCAGATGTGTCCAGGTCAGCTCTGACTTCCAACAGCAAACGTACAAGCTCTACCGAGCCTAAGTCAGATGCCAAAATAAGAGGCGTTTCACCATCTGCATCAGCTATGTCCACACCAGCACCGGCCTCCAACAGCAAACGAGCAACTTCCACATGGCCTGCATGTGATGCCAGTAGAAGAGCCGTATCGCCGTTCTCCGCAGCTAAATCTGGATCATGGGGGCGGTGTAGCATCGCTTCAACTTTGGAGAAATTGCCGTCTATCGCAGCCCTCAGGAATTGGTGTCGTTGCTTTTGAGACGGGCCGCAGAAGGGCACCACAATCAGAACAACTTCAATGTCCAAGTCTGCGTAGAATCGAGTCTCATCCTCCAGCACGGAGCCTTGATAAAGGATCCTTTGTTTGAATCGGGGCACGCCCAAAAGCAAACGCAGGTGCTGTTTCAAGCCTCTCACGTTCACGAGCCGATTCACTGGAATGGTTGCCACCTCTTGCCCTGAAGGTCTGAAAACGCTCAACATTGATATGTGGGCAGCGCTGCAGCGTGAAGTTCTTCAATGCCTAAGAACAGGTTCAATCAAAGGCTCCTCAAAGCATGGTTGGCTTTCACAACCAGACATTCATGGCAAATTTGCAGCAAGAGAAAGCATAACTCAAACACCTAAAACAAAGCACCACACTCAACTGGTGACCCTGTAATTACTAACTCAAACGATGTGTTAAATCTGCTAAATATGGATTTATATATATATATACGTGTGTGCTATAAAAAAAAATATAAAAGGTGTTATTGGACAATCGAAGTAACACTAAAGAGAAGTGTGATCATGGCCAAAGGCTCAGTCAGTTCAATCAGTTGGCCGTGATTTGCGTGTTGTCTCTGTCACCTGTTTGAGCAAGCCCTTTTCATTGCCACTCGTCATTGCCAAGATCCAGAAGCGATGATGAGGCCAAAAACCATAATGTATAAGGGCATTGGCAATATCGGTTGTGATGATTCCCGAACCATCCCAAAACAGCACGAGAGTGACTGAGGTTGAAAAATGTCACCGTGAGAGATTCTACTGTATTGGATTGTATTGGTAGGCCTAGGGGCTCCTGGCCGTACTACTAGGAACAATGTTTGCTATTAGATACAAGACATCTCCGATTTCCACTCGCTTTAAACGACTCGACTCTGGCCATTCCTCTGCGCTTCCGGACCACTTTCGCTGTGGCTCTTCGAGCATCCCTGGGGTGTGGCACGGTGGGAAGTTGCCTGGAACCCTACGAGTAACAAATAGCTTGTAATGGGTTCCAGGGTAATAGGTTGCAGTTGCTTCTTGCTACTAGTAGCGGTGCACTTGCTACTAGTTGTGCCATTGTCAAATTTCAGGGTAGCTCCCTGTGACCGTTTGGATCCCGGTCTGACTGCAATCCCATGTAGTATAGGTGATATATAATCATATAGCATGTGATAGCACTTGGCACTTGGCCAGTCCAATCCAACCGCAAATGACATGCAAGGAATCAAGGAAGCACAAACGCGGAATATTGTGAAGGTTCAACTTTGTATCTCCTGACTGGCGTAACAGCTTGTGAATGATTGGGTTTCGGCATGGGCAAATGGGTGCCCGTTGGCTGGAACAACGCCAAGCAACAAACAAGAAAACCCGGCTAATCATGGGCTGCTTGCTGTTGTCGCATACGAACTTTTTGACTGTTTCCTCTTTCTTCCTGAGCCAACTCGCATAAAGACCACCGGCCAGGGTCCCTCACGGCGTCCGGCCAACTCCCACACCCCAACAACCTCGGCAGGTGATCCACACACAAAAAAAAACAAACGGCTTGACTCTCGGGGGCTTCCGGACTAAAACAGTAGGTCTTGTAAGGTTTGTTGGCGATTGTTGACGTACAGCCCTGCGTTGAAAACATGTGTCAGCTGCAGCTACTGGAGCCGCGACCACACATCTCGGGCAACTGATCACTCCAACGTTCCTCGTTTGGTCTTTCTGCTCCATCTTCTTCCTTTTAAGAAATCAACTCATCACTGTTCCTCTATGGCCAACAGCCTGATGCAAGTGATTACTTCTACGACTTGCTGTGTGCCCAATAGAGTGAAAGTCCTAGGCTCTCCAGCAGTGCCCTCTCGTTCCCTGGTCCTATCTAGGGCTGCCGCCCAGGTTGCTGCAAGTGGAGAGCTGAATTGGCTCCTAAAGTTTGAAGCCGCAGTCCAACAAATGCAAAATGCAAAAGGCTATACAGAGCCAGTATCTCATGTCAGATCTCATTCTCTGCATGAGGCATCATGAGGCCGCCTGGCTCTTGATCCCTGCCCCTTTGGTCGCCTTCACGACTGGAACATGGAGTCCATGCGACTAATTGGCCTTCCAATGTTGCAGTCAATGTGCATGCACCCACGAGCAAACCCTGCCATGCGCGTCACCAAACCATACTCCCCACTCCATGCCACACCGTGATGCCTCCACTTGAGAGTGAGGTTTCAGCGCCTGTCCCACCTCTGGGAACCTCGGCGTTTTGAGAGCTTTCTGGTGCTTCAGAAGACTGATAGGGTAAAGTACCGTAAGATCGCTTGATAGATGATACCGCATATACCTATCTGAAGCTGAAATTTTCAAACATACTATAAGATACTAGACTCCTAGACAATACCCGGCCATACATACCATACTAGCATATACTAGCTATGCTGCTATACCACACGACCATACCATACTCTACTATCATCAAACCTGCGGACCTGGCAATTTTACCAACTGCGCCAATAAATAGAGAACGCATCGAGCAAAAGGCAGCCAGAATCCAGAGTCGTGATGTGTCAATCGACTGGATAGGGCGTGGCAAAAGCCTCACATGATTTGTTTCCAAGAACAAACACCTTGCGCGGAAATGCATGAAAGATCATGAAAGTGTATATTATGGATCATTATGGTAGCTGGTAGCCATTCATCAATCCACCAAAGACCAGTCTAACCTGATGTCTTTGACACGCTTTAATCCAATCAGTGGCTTCTATCCTCAGACCCGGGCTGATCCCAGTTGGGGTCATCGATGAAGGTGATATCTTCCTGACAGCACTCAGCGCAGAAGGGGGTTCTATGGTCTTGTCGTTCTTCGGTGGCAGTCTTCCTGGAACCCTCGTCAAGCGGAGTTCAGAGTCAAGCGTCAGAAATTGTTGCTCCAAAAAGCAAGGCAAATCACGTCATGACACTGCCCGCCCATTCCAGGAAGAGTGTTAGGATGTGTTAGGCTTGGTGGACATCCTCGTCTTGACTGGACTTGGGAGACCATGTGGTGCGATAGAAGCACCAAAATCACCAAGGCTGGCTATTCCCAAGACTTGCTCAGAACGGGCTGGTCTATGCTGGTCTTCCACACCAACGTCAACAGCAACGAAACATGACTTCACGATTTCCCCTCCACGTGCCAAGATGTAAGGCACCAACCAACATCCCACACCCGCCCTGCACATCCCCCCATCGCCGTCTCATTGCCTCGGGGCTGGCAACGAGGTCCTTCAAGACCGCATCGATGGACTGGTAGAGCTGGAAGTGGGGCCGGTCCTGGGACCATGAAATGAATGGCGGACAATGATGAGCTTAGAATAGATGTGATACAGTAGACGTGAGTAAGACTTCTTGGAGTACATGCGCTTGAAAACCAGTGGAAACGATGAAAGCCATCGTATATATATATATAAACCTAGGGTTCTGAAGATAGATAATGAAGGCATTATCGTCAAAGCATCTGACGTGGCCTTCAAGGCCGGCCCCGGAGAGACAATGTTGACAGCTCTTCAGTACACAAGCATACTAACGTAACATGATCTCAGAAACGATGTAGACTTTTGACGCGAACACTCATTGGCGGGCACGACCTTCCACCACCTGGTCTGTTGCGCTAAGGTGTCAGCGGTTGCCACTGCCACTGCATCGTTGCCGAACTCCTGTGGGGGCAGCGATTCCGGTGGGGGGGTGTCTCACAGCAGATTACAGTTTGATATTCACCATTGTCGTGAGCACAAGACCCAAAACAAACATGTCTCGCGTTTGAACAATCAAGCGAGGGGCGGCTAAGCAAGCACATCCAGTTAGCAGCACAAAACACAAATCAACAGAAAGTTGAGTAGGGCAGCTGTGCAAAAAACTCAGCAGCTACGGCATCTTCTTGAAATGTGGCTCGAATGGTGTTGCAACATGGTGAACCAGACCATCTCCCCCAGCATTAACCAAATACCGATGCTTCCACGGGTCCATTGCAACACTCACTTGGCGGTTTTCCTGGGCAGTTGTTGCCATTTATTCTAATTCTACATCCACCCATAGGCACAAATGCTGGTCCATACAAGGTCCGCTTTTCGAGACACACACACAAATGTTTGTGGGGGCCAAGCAAACTCATACTGACTGAGCCTTCAAAAGTGTTCTGCCTGCAAGCAATGGTTGATTGATTTTATGTAACATTAGGCAACTTGAGCCTTTGGTTAACCAAGGCTGTTGTCAAAACATCTTGATGACCATCAGTTCGTGCCGGGGTGAATTAGTCTGCAAGGCTTATGTTGCAGGAAGCAGACGTCAACTTTGGCAAAGTGGCAGCTACAGGTGACAATAGATTCGGCCCAGCCCACAGTTCTACACCACAAGGTTTCGTAACAACTTGTCTAGTCTTCCGGGAACTTTCTTTTTGAGTGCTATGTCATGTCGATCTTCCGGGGAGAAAATGGCTGAGCAACCTCCAGAGGCCGTTATGGAAAAAAAAACTTCCTAAGCAACCAATAAGTCCTATCCTTCTCTTGTGAAGTATTGGTTGGTGTGTATTGGTTGTTGGTTGGCTCTTACTTGGCTCTTTTAGACCTGGCGGCACGGCTGAAAAGAGTCGCGCCAACACATGCTGCGCTGTAGAAATTGACAGCTGCTCCATGATCACCACTCGTATGAAGAGTAATGGGCATAAACTCCCAAAACTTCTGGGAGACCCTAGGAGCAAGGACGCTACTAGGGGCTCCTAGCATCGCTAATTGCTAGGAACAAGGGCCTTACTACTAGTAACAAGAAGCTAGTAGAAACAAGAATTAGTACTTAGATGGGAGTCGTCGTTCTGGATGGGAGTCGTGAAATCACTATAACTTAACTATAATGACCTGGTGCCGATCACCGTCACCTGCAAGCTTTCCTTTCTGCCATGTCCAGCCTATGACTTCGCCATGGGCTCCAAAGCGCGCTCTGGGGGTTCGGGACTAAGCGCCTGCATGAATTCAGTTCCGTCCAGAAGGTCATGCCCTTGAGCAAAGGGCTGGAACGGGCTTGAGCCCCCATCCCAGTTGCCTCTTCAGGACAGGCACGCGACCTCTCTGGGCGGGGCGCTCAGGGAGATCGATTCCGCCGGGCCGCTCGGTCGGCGGCCTTCTTTTCCCAGTCGTCCTTGGCAGGTGATGGAGGAGAGAGGAGAGGGAATGAATGGTCAGTGGATGTGAAACATGAGAAAAACCCATGAGAAACGTGAGATTGGGCAAGGACCCCCTGCAATCCCCTGCATGCAGGGGGTCGAAACGTGTCAAACACACGGAGGCAACATGCGCCAACCCCTTCAAAAGTGGCGACTTTCAGTGGAGTTGGAAAAGTGTATATATGAGGAAAGGCCCAACCCTCTGCTGGTCTACCGGCTTGGACAATTGATGTTCATTGTGCCCAGCACGCCTGCCGACAATCGATGGCAGCCCCTGCATACCACTAAAGAAGTGCTGGTGGACAAACCCATCGTCGTCAAGTGCTAATTTGTGCATAGGTCGTGGAAGTTAATAGCTTGCTACTTAGCTTGCCCTTACATGAACTTCGGGTCTGAACTTCGTGCCTCAAGTCCCGAGCCCCCCAAGAAAACCCAGTTGGTGATCAAAGCGTCGATGGTGCCCCGCACAGCCTGCACAACCTGCTTCGGGTCGGGCACGAAGAGAGTGATCTCGAAGGCCTTTGAGCCACGCTCGCCGCAAATGATCTCGAATTGGATCCAGCCAAACAAAGGGCAGAACATTCTGACATTCATGTCTCACAATGTTTTCAGATCCAACCCAAGCGGTCGGAGACGCTGCGGCCTTCGAGAAGGCATCCAGGCTCAAACTCTTGTCCTTGAGAAAGGACTTGTGTCCTGGCAGGTGTGTGATACGTACAGCTGGCGCGCCTGTTCTCAGTGAACTGCACTGTCCACTTTGACACAGAAAGCACCAAATTGCATGCGACCTGATTCCGCCCAAATTTGCAGTAAGTGAATTGAACTCACTTCCAGTGTTGAAGCATCTGCTGTTGAATTTGTTGAATGACAAATTTTGGCACAGCCAGCCAAGGATTTGCCAGAAAAGTAATATATCTTTATACCCACATATAGTGACGGACTACATCACAGAAACGACATGAAACACATGCGCATTCTATCCCCTTAAAGTGCGTTAATAGTGCCGGACCGGAAGTTTCAATGTGCTGGCGCCATCCAAATCATCCAGAAAGTGGGAGGCATTCTAAGCGCCCTCGGGTACACCCTGAAAATAGCAGTTTGCACACCCATTCTAACAGGGGGATTTTTGTATCCGCAAACAGGGGTCCTTCTAACTCGATCGGTTTACATTTTGGAGATCGCCGGGGCATTCTAACTTCCAGTTATATATATAGTTATATATATATATCTATGTCTATATCTATTTGTTTGTTTTGCGCATTATTGCTCTCTCTCCTTCTCTTGGGGCTTCTGTCTTCCAAATGGGCTTTAGAATGTCTTCCGGAGTTCTCCCTTCAACGAATGGCTGCCACAAGTGCTCCACAAGAAGGGGTCGTGGCCTCGGATGCCCTCCAGCATCTTGGGCAAGCGCTCATTCCTGCATGGTGAGGGCGGCTGTGTGGAGGTTACAAAATGTTACAAACAGGTCTCTGTAACTAGGTAAATGGCCCAACCCTTTCAAACACTTGATGGCTAAAAGATCCCACCGGAATGCAAGCCTTAATCATATACAGTACAATTACGATTACGGTGTTTCCTCTTATTGCTCTGTACGTGCCACGCTCAGGCCCCAGAGCCATCAAATGAAGAGAGACCAAAGATCCACGGAAAAGTATACACCCTGAAGGAAAGACCTGCCACAGGCTTCGGGATCAAACCAACTTCCAATCAGTCTCCTGAGGCCCTTGATCATGGCACCAAAAATGTCGGCCATGGTTTGCGTCGCCTGCCATGGGCCGGGGGCGAAACAAACTTGACCAACCATAGCTCGCTAAAAGGTTTCACATGGTTTCACTTTTTTTTGTAGCAGTTATCGTGCAAAGCCTGCACAAAGCTATGTTTGTACATGAGCCAAGTGCATATCTGGGTTTGGATAGGGCGTTAAGCCGGGAAGCCCCGATTCATCAAGAACCTTGCAAAGAACAACGATGCACAGCCGGAGCCCGATGCTGAAACTCGACTTGACGGGGAGTGCAAGCCATCCACTCTGCAGCACATACGCTGGGAGGTGATTCCAACGAGATTTGGTCAAAGAGCGAGGCCATCATGGACCACTGGAGCTGTTTTAAACAATCGTTCTCCAAACCGCATCTGTGAAATATCTGGTGCATTGTCTCCATTAAAAGGAGCTCGTCTAGATCCGAGCCAAGTCAGGTACAAGATGAGACAGTATGATACAGTATGGGCCAGAGAACACTTACCACTGAGAACGATGAACGGGGAGTTTAAATTGTGCATGCAAGGCCCACACCCGCTGTCCTCTTCCAACTCCTTCTCTGAAATCTTTCGGTCACCGTCCTTCGTAACTAGCGACTGCAAAATAGCTGCAACTGAGCGCCCAAAAACCCTTGGAGCTCAAGGAGTTCAAAAGTTTCCAAACGCTCAAGAGCTCCTGCCTTGAGAGCCAACAAGACTGTAACCATGCCCAAAGGACCCAAAAGAACTACTGGCTGAATGATACCCAAATTTGACATCTTCAACGCAAAACCACTCAAAGGCTCAAGGCGTATACATATATGATATGTTTTTTACATCAAGTGCAGTAGACAAAAACAAACAAACAGCAACAAACTGCCAAAGTGTAGTGGCAAAGGACAAGAAGACTGATAGATCGAACATGCTGCCTTCCAGCTCCGCAAGTTGCATCAAACAAGTGCAAACGCCAAGCAGCGGTGTCCAAGTAGAGCTTCACCATCTTGTTGATCGTCATGGCCATCTGCGAGCGCGCCGTGGTCTGCATCCTAAGATCGAATTGGGCTTGGCACCGAGCAGGAATTGGCCCACAAGGTGCCCTTGGTTGGAAAATGCATGTGATGGAGTGGGAGTTTACGGATCGCATTTCGTGAACTCCCAAAGTTGTTTAGGTCCAGAAAGGGGACACACTGTGACAATTGGGTCATGGCATTTTGTTGACACAGGGAGCTCTTGGCAATTCAGTCTGTAGTTGCTACATAGTTTCTGAGTAGTGAAAAGAATTGCAAACTACAACTGGTGCGGTCTATTCACGTACATGCTCAGAAGGAAGAGCCCATCCTTGCGTCGCACCGACGCCACTGTATAGGAGATCAGAACCCATAAACTCGCAGCGAGCTTGAGCAGCAAGAAGGAGTTCAACTCGCAGCTGCCATACAAATGAACTGCTTGCTGCTTGACCCATACCTATCTACGGCTCATCGTGCCACAGTTGCTTTAGAAAAGCTCATGCGGTGCCAAGCATCGTTCGGACCTCCTTGATCGCCCGCTCCATGCTGCCGCCAAACTTCCCTCACCGACAAGTGCAGCAGTACGGTGTCTTGGGAGGGCAGGAAAAGGCAGGAATTAACTTGAGATGACTAGGTTCTCTGTCTGGTCTATGCCTCCATACCTGCATATACCATCCAGACATTCAGGAGAGTTCAGGAGTGTGAATTGGGCTTTCAAGGTCCATCGTACGGCGCTTGGACTTTGGAGTGGAAGGGCACGCGCTTCACGGTACATGTTGAAGTCCGGCCAAATGCTCAAAACATTTTTCGTGCTACCTCATTGCGTCAGGTTGAGAAACGTGCCAGGTTGCAAAAAAAACTCTCCAGGTGGCCAAACCACTGAGTTGAGGGTTCTGGATTTGCAGTGCGTTTGTATATTGTGCACTTGGTCACATCACAAGCTGGTTTGCCATGGAGGAGACCAACAAACAAATGTCTGCCCAAAGTTCCCATCCACAAATCACAAAAATAGAAGCTCTGAGTTCTAGTTAGTAATCGTGGCAAAACCGGGCAACCCAACAGTTTGTATATAATGTCAAGTCCGGATTAATAAATCCCCCCTAGTTAATCCGAGCCCACAAAGCCGCCGGAAATTGCCCAAACTAAAAGTATTATTGGCCTGTTGATTTCCCCCCCTATGGTCTGGTTTTCTACCAACAATCCCCCCCAGATAATCCGAGCCCACAACCAGGTCAATTTTTCGTACTACTACTACTACTCCTCCTCCTCGTCCTCCTCCTCCTGCTGCTGCTGCTGCTGCTCCTGCTCCTGCTACTGCCACTGCTACTGCTACTACTACTACTACTACTCCTCCTCCTGCTGCTGCTGCTGCTACTGCTACTGCACTGCTACTAGCTATTGCTGCTGCGGCTGCTGCTGCTGCTGCTACTGCTACTGCTACTACCACGACCAACACCACCACCATCACCACCTACTACCTACTACATGTTTGATGAAATCCTTAAAAA